TGAAACACTTGGAACAAGCAGCTTTTAGCAGGAAACTGCAACAGGAATTTCGGTGATGCTTATTGTTTGGGGGGAGAGGTTTCATATTGTATTTAATCTGCTTTCTTTTTCTTGCTTGCATTCTGGTTAGTCCTGGAATTTCCATTTGAGACAGAAGACAGCACTTGGCTCCAGTGCAGCCTGGAAGTCTCTGTGTGCTGTTTGCTGGCACGCTGCATTTAAATGCTTCTCCTGCAGAGGAGCTGTGAATATGGATTCTTTGGAAGGATGCAGACAGGCTTGGAGTCAGAATTGATTTAGTGTGAAGGAGAAGGTTATAAAGGTTTCTTTAATGTCCACAGAACTTTGAATCATCTATAAAAGCTCTTTACATCTGTTTTTTGAAGTTATGATTCACATTTTCTAAAAGCAGATGACACTGATTGTTTTAATAATGTGTAATTATCTTAGTAATTCATTATAATTGTCTCTGTTATGACCATCTCGTTGAACACCTAGAGGCAGAGAGTGACAAAAGAATTCTAATGATTTTATTACTTAAGAAGATAGATTTAAGATAATCAGCTTTCAAACAAACCTTTATTTGATTTGAATATCAAACTCAGTTGCACTGATTGTAGGCTTCTTGCCTGCCCCAGAAGGGTGTTGTTTTTAGCACTATCTTAACAGGGCTTTTTCCTCCTTATCCTCTTATTGTTCTTCAGAACTGTAAATGAAAAGCCCAGGAGAAAGGCAAATGAGAACTGGGCAAAGACAAGAGGGAGAGATGTGAGCAAACTAAATGTCTGGTGAAAGAAAAAGCATCTAGAGCTTCATTAGGCTGTATTGTATTATACAAGAGATGCCTTCTCCTTATTTGGACTTACAGTCAATAGCAAAGAAAAACTTCTTGGCTTTTATTGTACTATGCTGAGGATTTATAGTTTGTCACCATTTTCAAGAGAACTGGGAAAAGTGCACTGAGAAGGGTCTGTGATAACACAGGGACCATGGCTATTCTGAATGTATGTAATGTATGTTCTCAGGAGAGAGCATGAATCAGAACATTGTGGGACTGGAAGGGTCTTGATTTTTTGTTGCTTGAGTTTTAAAATGAAGAAAGCTGGACTCTTCTCACTGTCTTAGGCTGTACAGTTAGATTTTTTTCTATTTCACAGAATACTTAATGTCAGAAGGGACTTCTGGAGATCATCTAGTCCAACCCCCAGTTTTCCAGAAAACAATTTCTTTTTATTTACCACAACTGTAATAAGTTATAGTAATTAGTCTGAAATCTAAAAAAACCTATAAAGAGTTGATTATAGTGTTTGTTTTTAAGGGAGCAGAAGTAAGATTACACTGTGGAAGAACTACATAGCATTCAAACTATTAAAGGATTTGGATCATACACCCACCAAAAGCTGTCTTGCTCTTTGTAATTACAGCTTTATCTTGCATATTACAAACCAGTTTTGAAGTGAGAGATCATGTTACCTGTCATCTCCCCAGGTTCCATTTTCCTTTCAGAGTCCATGTTGGAAAGTGCATTGCACTGGTATGTGCAGTGCATCTAATAACCCTTGAATCTGGTTGCAAAACACCACTTTTCTGACACCTTTTGCTGTGTTTTTAAAGGAATTTGAACATTAGGTTGGAGAGTCTTTTGCCTGTGTTTACTTGTGTTAAGTAAATTATAAGGATGTTTGCTTTAAAGGCATCTCCCCAATATCTCTTGGTTTGGGAAGAAGTTATTATGTGTGTAACTCTTTTAACCATTTCCTGTTTGTGGATTCAGTTTAAAACATATGCTTATGCTACATCACCTCAGTATTGCATTTGGAATATGGAACAATTTTTAATAACATTGTATTGGTTTTAATCTGGTTTACAACTTGTTTTCTACTTTCACCCATATTTACATTTAAAATAGATTGAGAATACTTGTACTATGTGTTTTTTTGCAAGTGTCAGTGAAGATTTCAGCTGCAAGTAATGTCTCTGATACAACCTCTCTGTGTGAGGTGTTCCCACTGATGCGCACTAGCCATGGCTTTTGGGGTACTTTTGGTTTGGATTGGATTGCCAGCCCTTTGTAAAGATGGGCACAGTGCTGGGAAGAATCCATGGCTGTTCTTTGAAATTCAGTGAACAGGCAGTTGTAAGTAATGATTCTCACATGATTTCTAGATGGCATAAGACTGCTAATTTTGTCTTTACATATTTAGATATAAGTACAGGTTTGCAGGTGATGAGTATGTGGGACTGTTCTTTTTCTAGCCTTTTCCACTGCCTATAAAACTTAATCTTTATTAACCATGTAGTTGTTTAGTATCACTCTCAAGCAAGAATTGTGTGTTGAGAGGATGTTCGTTACACGGAGTTTTTTCTTTGTACATCAAAGATGCTCTAAGTTGCGCAGTGATAGCAAAGGACATTTGGAGTCTGGAGTGTTTGGCCACATCTACTGCTACAAATGATGCTGAAATTACAAATAAGACTAAGTTTGAGATTTCCAGCAATTTGGACTGAGATTTTTTTAAAACCCATACAGTAATAGAAAGACTAATGGACTCCAGGAACTGAGTGAAGACTACAGAGGATCTCCAGGAATAGATTTCCTAGGCAGACCTAGGCTGAAATCTTAAGTTTGTAGTTTTTCTGGAACACTTGCATCTGTAAGGTGATGGCTTTGTGTCTAATTATGTGCAAGTTCCATCCTTGCTGTCCTATGGATTAGTTATTCTTCAAAGGTCCAAGGTTGTTTTTGTCGATATACTGTACTATTCCTGAACGTTAATTACCAAGACTATCAAACTGAGTTATTGGCATAACAAGATGAATGTTTGCAATATAAGTAGAATCAAACATTTTATATTCTCCTCTGCTCCATAGTGTAATTTAAAATGAGAACATCCTTGTCCTTGTCCCTTTCTAAAAAAGAGGAAGAAGAGAGTATTTGAAGGTTCTTTGTCCTTGTGCATTACTGAAAATCTTCTAAAATTACTTCGGACTGAAACTTTTGTAGAAATGTGATTAAAATATTAGGGCTTAAGTTAAATTTCGTATTCAGAAGACACTTAGATTTCTGCAACTTAATTCTATTTTAGCAAAGCCTTCAATATTCCCATGGGATTTGCAAATTGAACACTTTGTTCCATTTACATTTAGAAAAAGCCTGAAGTCTAGCATTTAATCTAGTTCATGTAAGCAAAGATTCAGGTGAGTAACATGTTTTAATTGTTGTTCTTAAGAGATGCAGAAGGAAAACAAACAACTTCAAAAGTTGGAGCTGATTTCAGACTGGTCAGATTCAACAGCTGCTGTGTTGATTTCTGGGTTCAGTGGTGGGTAATTCCCTCTCCCATCTCTTGGGGTGAGAACTTACTGGATTGCTATCACTTAGGCTACTCCACATCCTGAATTGTCTATCCTTGATAACAGAGCTGCCATGAGGATTTGGGAGGGGTTTGGTGGTGAGGTAGAATAATTCACGAGGCAGATGGGATGTAGGAAGCCACTAAAGGCTTGGCTTTATCACTTGGAGATATTTGGGGAAGTCTGATATTTTCATCACTCTTCCTCCCCTTACAACCTTACTTTCCATCTCCCAACTTCCTGATAAAATAAGGGAGGGACCTAGAAAATATAACTGTGCACTGATAGATACATAGATACACACACACCCCTTAAAAGGAGGCTCAGCTTCCTAGAAATGTAAGTTGGCAGGCTGAGAAAACATTTCTTGTAGTGCAGGTGAAGTATGACAGAACTTCCAGGCTGTGCTCTGTAGTATATTGGAAAATTGATAAGGTGTTCAGTGACTTTGGCAGATGATCTAGTTTTTACATATTAACTAAGGAGATTTCAAGTAATTTTACCAAATCCACTTGCCTAAATTAACGGGTTTGAGTTTTTTTGCAAGACAAAACACTATATATGCCTTGAGCCCTTAGATGCTCTAAGTAACATTGGCAGTTCATCCAGAAATCCATTTCCTAGCACATTCATGAGCTACATTTCTGAAACATGAGCTTTGATTTTATAGCCTGCAAAAGTGGAGTCCCTGGAATCTCCCTGAGCTGGGGCATTCTGCCTCTGTGGTAAGGCAAGGCTGGCTACATTCAGGACTTGCAGGTTATTAATTCAGCAGTTCTTGCTGCTGCTTTTTGGCATTTCCATTCAACTTCCCTCTGTGTTCTCCTTCTCAGCCCACACAGGTAACTGTTGGTGGCCTCTATCCCAGTGCAGAGTCAGGATATTTTGGAATGTGCTAGACAAAGCTGCAAGGTCATCGTGTGAACACAGGGATTTCTCCTGGAGCAGATAATGAGCAATTATTATTTTTTTTCCCCATTATATGTTCTGTCTGTCAGAATTCTGGATGCAAATAGACATTACTTGTTTAAACATTAAAAGGTCATTATTCTACTAAAGGTTTTGGAAATACGTGGATTAAAGGCACTTGAAGAACATTTTTGAAAACCTGTTATTTACTCAGATTTACCTAATTCTGTAAGCCTGGGATTTATTAGCCATTGTGTTAATCAACTTTCTAGCGTTGTTTTTTATGCTAAGTACAGATTAAGATATTACATGTGAACTCATGACTCTTCTTAAGGTCTTACTGACAGCACAAGAGTTTAAAACTAGTTCAGAAAATTAAATAAGTTTGTATGGTGGACTTGTGATGGCAGATTTGTATTAAAGGTAATTTTCTTCCCAGCTGAACAAAGGGATTGATTAAATTACTAAGCACCTATTCTTCTGAATATGTCAGTAAAATTTAAAACTTTCCCTGTATTATGGGTCAAGATGAAAATACGTCAGCAAAGGCAATCTTCAAACAAAAGACCCAAATTAGATTCTTAGGTCAAGGATTCTGAATGGGTCTGGTTTATCTCATGTAATTTTTCACATCTAAACCCATAACAAAGTATTCACAGCTGATTATTTTTTGTAAACAGGGTTTCTGAATTTGCAAATACGAAGCTGACAGGGGTTTTTTTTTTTCTCTTTTGCAGATGGGGATGGACAGAGTGAACATTTATTACCAGTTTGTGAAGATGAAGCATGTCAAAGAAGTGCCATCTACCTAACTAAGCTGGGATTGGATCAGGTAATGTGATTTTGGAATAGCAAAACCCAAGGAAAATACTGTGCTTTGTTAAATAATATGAAACAGAAAAACTGGTTTTGGGGAAAGAAATGAAATTTCCTCACCTGTAATTACTGGATACAAGAGACTTTTATTGATTTATTTAATTGTCTGTTCCTTGTCTGAAAAATGCGGATTTGGTGGAAGAGGTTGCATAGCTAGAATTCTTCATAATGAATAATTCTACTCAGGAAAATGATGAATGCTTCTGAGCAGTTTCTTGATTGCAAACCACTGCGTTCTAAGCAGGATAATTGCCCCAGCGTGAGATGAAAAACAAGGTTTGTGTTAAGAGTTCAAAACAGATCTAATTAACTCAAATATACAAGTTGAATCAGCCCACATCTCTTACCCCTTGTTTCTAGTTTCTTTTCTTGAAAAAAGTGGTATACAAAGACTTTTTTTAGGCTGTGTATATTCAGAATTGGGCTTCTTTTAAACTATTGCAGGTTTGTTTCTTCGTGACACTGCTGGCTTTGAGAGACATGGTCATAATTCCTGCAGCAGATCACTCTATGTTCATTTATATGCGTGTGTGATAATTTGGTTTAAGTATTTACAGTGCCTTCATTTATAATAAAGTTTCAGCATGCAGTAAATTAACCAACTGTTTGTTGGATGCCTTAATAAATGTTTTATTAAATTCAAGTTTAGCAATGTGAACTGAAAAGCCAAGATGAGGTATAAAGTACTTGTAGCAGACAGCAAAACCCACTGTAGTGTACTTACAGAAATTTACAGTGGGTGCCACACATGCTGCTAACAAGGTTATGAATTACTGATTATTCCCTTACTGACAAATTAAAAGTAGAATTTTGTGTTGATAGTAGTACCCTCTCTGATCTATAATTCAGAATTTATTAGTGAACTTGTTACAGTCTGTAGCCCAAGTTTCAAGTGTAGATTTTCTCATTTAAAGAATCAAAAAGCATAGAACACAGGCTGTATCCCACTTTCCTGCTAGTGAGGAAAATCACTCTGTATTGGAAAGGAAAGCACAGAGCTTCCAGTCAGTTCAGGAGGAATAACTGGGATGGAATATACCATCAGTGCAAGACAGAGTAACTGTAAATTTGGCAATTTATCTCTTTTAGCCCCCTAATCTTGGCAGCTCTGTTCTCAGAAATCAATTTTGCTGTGCATGCCGTGTTTTGGGTTGGTTGTGGGTTGTTGAGTTTTTGTTTTGGATTTTTATTTCTTACATTCTTCCCTGTAAACACAGAATACAGACAATAGCTGGTAGCATTGCACAGTGTCACAGGGGAATCTGAGTTATGGGCCACAGCCTTTGTATTAAGGAAGTGGATGCTCAGGTCATCAATATCTGCACTGCTGCTGGTTCTTTGGGTGAGCACATCCCACAGGTCACATCCTGTAATGGGTGAGTGGCTGGGGTGCTCTTTGTCAAAGACAAACTGCTCTTCAGCTCTCAGTTTAGTTACTTACTCTTGATAATATAAGAATTAAAAGGCATTTCAGTTTTTCTGCTCATGTAATGTGAGACAAATATTGTAAATTAAAGTCATTTCACTGTAGAAAATCAAACCCACACAAACAGTTGGTACTACTGGGAGATACAACCTGAGAGTAGTGGGTGACTGTGAACCAGTTCTGTTAGGTCTTGTTCAGAGTATGTTTCTAGAAGGAAGAGATGCAGCCCTGACAGAGGAAAGTGCAGGTCAGTTTGCATAACAGACTCTCCTTTGGAAAAATTCTGATATTATTGTTACCTAGTCTGAAGTAAAATTGCACATAGACAGTTTTAATCTTATTTCATTTTTTATAGGAGTAAACTAATCACTAATACATCAAATTTTTAACCAATATTTAATGTATTAACTTAACAATTTCACTGTGTAGTTTCAATTTTAAAAGAATTTCCAAGGTAATGACTTTTGAGATAAAAGTTAGCAGCTAAATATTGTCACATAATTTTAAAAAGCGAAGAATCCAAGAGATTCTCACCCTAGTAGAAGGAAAGTATTAAAAAGTATTAATACTTACCTAGAAACTTGAAAGCAATTTTCTCTTGATATTTTTAGAATGACTTTTTAATTAAAAGTGACAGTATCAAATGACATGCAGTAATGACCTGTTCTGGCCTAACCTTTTGAAAGAATTCTATCTAGAGCACTCTTTTCTTGCACTCATCGGCAGCTGATGGAGCTGCTTCTCTTAAAACATTTTCTCTTTTCTGTTCTGAAACAGTGGATAATATCAGTATCCTCATTCATATGTCTGCAGCTTTTCGCATGTGTTGCAGGCTTCCTTCAGGTAGAAATCTATTCAAACATGTCAATTCCTGTATTTATTTTGAAGTGAAATGTTTAATTTCACTGAATTTGGTCACTGTGTGATGAGATGACCCAGCTTCCAAGCTTTGACTTAAGTAGCTTAATCTTCATGAGAAATCTAATGATTTATTCTTTATAAGTATTAGAAATATCTCAGATAACATTTTCTTCTTTTGGATGATGGAGCAGAAGTAAAGGCCAACAAAATACACACGAGTGACTTTAGGAGATACAGACCTACTAATGTTTTAAAGGAATGTGAATGTTTCCATGGCAACAGCAGAATGGCTGTCAGATCTGAAGTGGGATCCTATACACTGTTTCAGATTATGGCAGGTGTTAGGACACCTCAGACTTCTTTAAATTCACCTACAGTCAAATCTGAGAAATGTTTTAAAGTCCCTGGTACAGTTTATTGTAGAAACTCTAGATACTGTGATATTCTTAGAGATGACTAATCCTTCTTTTAATTTTGCCAAGGATTCAGTATGACTTTTCATTTGTTTCCTGAGGCAAACAGTGTGATTTCAGTCCCTTCATTCGCAAGTTTCTTTGTGGGCTGGATGATTCTTATAACCTCTCTCTGTATAATAGAAAGGTTATAGAGATTTATTCCTCTTGGAAATTTAGCAGCTCTGAAGTAGGACGCAGTGGTGCATCCACACAGTGGTGCATCCACACAGTGGTGCAAGCCACAAGTCTTTGTGGTGTCATTCCCTAGGCTAGAGAGGAATGTTACACCATCAATTATCGGCTGCACTTGGTCAGGGCCAGAAGTTTTTCTTCATTCCTAATAACAGTTTAAAGGGGATGGGGTGGATTCTGCTGCTGTAATTGTCGTAAATCTCAGGTTCTGCAAGATCCTCTCATCATTCCGAAGTTGCTCATCTTTCTCAAAGCAGCTGTGGGGCTGTGAGCATTGAAACACGACCTTTACTGCTGTGGTTACTTTTTCCTGTGGTTCTGAATCAGTGTTGGGGCTCGTCGTCTTCTGGGCTTTGAGCGCCATATTAATGGTGTAAAGTGTAGTCATTTACTTAGTTTATTTTTATGCAACAGTGGCTGCTCAGCTGTGGAAGGGATTCAGGTGACCTTTGGAGGCACTGAAAGCCTGATGCATCCTGAAATCATGGGACTATTTGTTATGTACAGCTGAACTACAATGCAGGTGTGCTGAGAGAGGGACCCCCAGGGAAAAGGGCTGTGGCTGGGGCAGCTCTTTCAGGCCACTCTTGATGCTCATCTTTCTACAGGGTGGATTAATGCTTCTCAAATAAATCAGGAGAATCCCTGAATGAGCACCAATTTCCAGACTTCCACACTGGGTGGCCTGAAATCGGGCAGCTGGCTGGGGGTGGGGTTTGTGCTTCTCAGGTTTCTGGACGTAGTTTAAAAATGCACATGTGTTAATCCAGCAATTTTGGCTCAAAGACCTGCTACCAGGCTTTGGAACCAGAGCAGTACCTTTCCTAATGTATGGAAGAATGGGGACTTTGCAAGAAATGAGCCTTTTCCAGTGAAGTGGGGTGAATGCAATGAGTTTTAAATGTTTCTCAAATACCCCAGACCTTTTTCAAAATGAAAAAGGTGTTGTTTTCACGGGGTAGTAGTAGAGCATTCTCTTTTCTACTTGTTGAAAAACAAATGTTTGAAGAGCTTAAAAACGAATTTTCGAGCACTTAAGTACTTTTCCTTTTTAGCCACAAAGTCATTAATTGAAGGATTAAAAATATCTACATAAATGTTCTAAGTAATTATATTAGTGGCATGCAGTGGAATTTAACAGAAAGGGAAGAAGGAAATCTGATTTCTCTGGCTGGATTTTATGTGTTCATTTAGAATTTATTTTAGATACTCATTCTATTTTTCAGTCTTTTTTCATCTGAGCTGTGTAGCAGAAATCATATGATCAGAAAACTGGAAAAAGTAGCTTTGTGTGTCCTCATTATACCCACCTATTTCTATCTTAGAGTGAAAGAAAAAAATTGGTTTTAGTCTTTTCCTATTAAAGTAGTAACAGCAAACATGAAGCTTAAAGTGTCTGGGTTATCAAACACAAAAGAAGTAAGAGATTTATATTGTTGACAAACACATTTCCATTTTTTGTCTTCTGTGGTGAAATATATGTCCTGAGGCACATGAACAATTAATCTTGCATTACATTACACAAGACTACAGTTCATAATAGAAATATTCAGAATGAGTCTCACCAAAAGCGTGGATTACTCCGAATTTGAAGTGTCATTTTAAACAGTTCCATGTGGTGCTGCGATGTGATCTGGTTGGGCAGTGAACAGCACTGATGTTCTGGAAGTGTTACACAACTGCTCTTGTGAACAATTCCCTCGGGTTGAGCAGGACGGAGGGATCTGATCCATGGCACAGACAGTGCTGATGTTCAGTAGCAATAGGTGATGTTTTGCTCACCTATTGTTTTATATCTCACTGTAGACCTTAGGATTGTAGAATTGCCTTCCCTGACTCACTCTGAATAGAGTAAAAAGAAAATACCAATTCATATTTGTGCCTAAAACTGCATTTTTAATTTTGCTTCTTTAAAGTAGTGTTACCCTACATGGGAGCATTTAAAAAGTATGTGATGGATGTAATTGGATTTCACTGCAATGACTGTGTGAATGATGCTGTGTGAAGTAAAAGCTATATTGTATTTCATGGTTCTGCTTTCAATCAGTGTTTTTCAAAATTACAGTATTTGCAATAATATTGTATCATCTGTCTTCTGCATGACAAATAAGTGCTAAGAAATCTTGCCCTTTGAAAAATTTCCCACAGGGTGTGGGGGTTCAAATATGTTTCATTTCAGTTTGAGTTTTCAGCGGGAGTGTAGGAGATCATCATTGCAGTTCAAACGTCATCACTTCCGTGGGCAGAGTTGCACTGAGTGTGTGCAGTGTCAGGCAGAACTGTTCCAGGCAACTAAGCCACTTGTGATATCCAAAACAAGTTGACCTTAAGTCACTCACTTCTCTAGTAATTCTGGGAGCTTCTCTGACATGCCTGTGGTCCTAAGGGACCAGTCAAGGCCACACGATTGCCATGTGCAGGAATGTTGTTGGTCACTGGATTGCGTTAGGGAGTCTTTCCACAGCAGGAAACGACACTGTCGTGGATCTCAGTCTGCTTCCTGAAATAGCTAAATTGAGACTTGGATGAGAGACATGTAAGATCTGTTAAGTGCTTTTGATGTTGGTGACAGTGATCCTTTAAGATGGCACCCTTCTGTCCTTTTGAAGGCATTGACAGTTAGTTGACATATAAAATTACTTCTGACTTTAAAAATGGCACTGAATTTCTCTGGAGCATTGAAATGTTAACCCTGGTACTTCAGCTTCATACTAACTTGTGAAAATACTTTGATTTTAATTAAGATAAGTTCCTATTTAGCACCTCTGCAGCACTTTGGAAAGTAAGTGCATTTCTTGTCCTGGAGAAATTATATTTTGCATTTCTTTTGTACTTTCAGTTTGATACTTTAATCTTAATTTCTTATCAAACATTTCAGTATCTGATGCTGCTGGGGAGATAGGAGGGGAATTGAAGCTCTTGAACTTCTGAAAATCCATGAATAATAGAATCATTTGAGCTGAAATGAACCTTAGGAGATCCAGCCTCCTGCTTTAAGCAGGAGCAACACTGAATTCAGATATGAACTGTCCTGAAGCATACTGATAGTATCCAGCAGTTTTGATGAGGGTACATCAGTCCTCCAGCTTTAATGATGCCTATTGCTTGCAATTCCAGGGGGAAAAAATGAGACTTAGGATCTCAATGCCCTGATGGTTTGGGCTTACCTACACTTTAGGATTAGTATAGATTCCAGGCAAGCCTGAATTTCAGTTAAGGTGTTCCTGAATATCTCCGTATACTGGACACATTCCAAAACACGGGTCCTTTATTCTTACAACCTGACCTACATTTTCCCTTTTCTGGAATAATTTAATGCATAGAAAAAACTCAGAATAATTTTTTCATTTGGTGGTAAATTTAGGAAATAATCCTTATTTCCTCTATGGAAATTTGTAAATGGCTACAAATCCTGATGAAGTGAAGAAATGTCAGCTGTTTTAAATAGAATTACCTTGTTTAAATAAAGTGGATTTCTCTACCTAGCTGTTCTTTTTTTTGTTTTATTTTACAGTGGATTCCTGTCTTACAAGACTTCAGAAATAAAGACACAGTCTGGGGCTTTGTACCATATCAAAATGACAAATCTTCAACAGAAACTTCATTTCCAATTACCCTTCATATTGGAGATTACAATATGGATGGCTACCCAGATGCTCTTGCTATCCTAAAGAACACTTCTGGAAGGTAGAGTATATGCAAACCTAGAAATAAAACTATCAGGTGCTTGTTCAATCATCAGTCACACAAATTGCTAACTTTAGTGCATCTCATTCATTGTAACAAGTGAACAAGACTTTTGATCTCTGTTAAGCATTTCTCTTTGTGAAAAGGGGAAACATTTAGCAGAGAATATGCTTTTACATGCTATGCAGGTTTATGCATTTACAAGCTGTATTCAGCATAATTGTATAGGCTCAGACTGTGACTCCTGGTGAGGAATTGCACCAGGGACTGGAGGATGAGGAAACATTTTAGGTGCTCCTCCCAGATGACAGGAGCTGATTCTCTCCCTTTCCTTTCCCAAACCATCTTCTGTAAAACCCTGATTTCAGCTTTCAGTGCTGACTGGTAACACCAGGCTGGAGAGTTGGGGAAACTGCTCCATGCTGTGGAGTGAACACTGACTGGTGACTCTGCTGAAGAGTGCAATAGTGGTTTGTCCCTTCCGAAAGGCAGGAAGTTTAAATAAACCTAATAATTTACCAGTGGTTCTTATATTGCCCAACTTTAACTGAAAATAAATAACACACATATCCAACCTCCCCCCCACCTCCAAAAGGAGCTTCTAACCCTTCCTATTTAATATCTCAATGTAATCTTTGACCTCCCTTTTTTTTTCCCCCCATTTTTTTCTTTACTTGTTTTTTTTTTTCCCAGTATTCTGTATTGCTACCAGCTGGTGCTGTACAGTAGAGGGCACGTAGGGATGCTCAGAGGGAGGCTGTTGTAGCGTGAGGAGTTAGTGATCCACAAAAGAGCTGACCCGAGGAGCTTCATCGCTGTGCTGTGCCTCGGCTGCGGGAGAGACGCGGCTGATCGTGACGGAGGAGCCTTGGGCAGCTCTCACCTGGCACCTGCTGACGGGACTGCTGGCGTGTCCTTATCGTTACCTTGAAGGGAAGCAGCGTGTTTTCGTGTGAACAGCCTTTTGCTTGACAGTAGGAATGATAAATAGCTTGTTTATTCTAAGGGAAACTTAAAAGAGCTCAGGAGACCATGATGCCAGTGAAGCTCAGTACAGACAGGAGATGTGCAGCGTGCTGTGCCCTGACTAGAGTCTGTCTGGTGCTGCACAACTGGTTTTCCCAGCATCTCAAGAAATATAAGGTTATTTATGCTATTTCATGTTTCTTCCTCGTGTCATTGCTTGTAAAAGGTATTTTAACCAATACCTTATGTGTTGGTTAATGTAATGGCGTCTTAATGTCTTAGTATAACCTTTGACAGATGCTTGCTCCAGTGCATTACAAGGCAAAACAGGTCTGCCTTGCAGGTGTATTTATTGTCTTCCTCTGTGTGGTATTTTGGATAAGGTTGGGTGCAGGTTCATACTTTGAATTCATAAGGAAAAGAACTGAGGAGCTCACTTTGATGCTTCAGACAGTGTACATATAAGAGAATTCACTGCTGAAGTCCAGGAAGTCAATTCAGATCTTCTAGGGGTTGCCTAAACAGGAGTCATCCACTGACATTTTTGTGTTAGAGTTCTTCAGATACTGACACACACCTAAGAATGACCCAGTTTGAAGAGTAACGTGCTTGTATTCAGCCTACGTGCTGTGATTCAGAGACAAGGCTGTGAGCAGCTGAGCTCTGTAGCTCTGAGCCTTAAAATAACCAGCAGAGCAGGTGTTTCTATTCAGACATGGCAGACGAGGAGGATGCTGTTACTGCCCAGGATGGCATAGCCAAGTTAAAGCTCTCAGGCCCTGAATGGCAAGTTTCTCACTCCATACCTGCCTCAGCTGGGAGTTTGCATCTTCTGTTCAGCAGTCATTGAATAAAGACTGCCAAGAGTCAGAGAGCAAACTAGAACCAGTGTCTTTGCCATAGAAATACTGTGACATCAGGAAAGTTGTTGTCTTTGGTTTTACTAAAGTCCCAGAAATCCTGTGTTTTGAGCTGTACATAGGCTGTCTTCTGGTGTGTGTCCTGATAGTCACTGCACTTCAAAAGGAGCTCAGAAATTTATTTTAAGTTATTTTATCTTTGAAGATTCTTAGGAGCCTCTGTCCTCTGGCTGGTGTAAGATTATGGCAATGTAACATCGTGTAAAAAAGTTTAAAATAGTTTGTAGAAGCCCAGGAAGTTACCAGTGTCTCATTGCAATGAAGTGCTGTGATACACTTCTATCTCTGTTCTCCCTGCTTCTGAAATTGTTTGCTTATTCAAGGGAGTGCATTAAAATTAATTTGAAACTTGACATGGAAGTTGAGTGACACAGTAAGGCATAAGGACTGAAGGTACTGGCAGATGATTTGACAAGTTATTGAAAGGGAGGTTCAGGAAGATGAGGAGGTCTGGCAAAAACAGGCTAAGTAACCTAAAAAAGGAGAAATACATTGCATGTTAACATTGTAAATATCCAGTATTTGTAGAAAAGTAATGAAAACATGCTTTGTACTTTAGGATGGGAATGAAAGTTACATTTTTTTGCACTCACTATGGAATGTCACATTCATTATTAATTCATTGTTTCTGAGAGACTTAAGCAAGTACTTCCTTTTAAAATGTGTAACTGGGTCACTGATTGGAGAGAATTAAAACAGTGTGGGAATTAAATTAAAGCTGTCCTTAAATTAGAGCAAATTAAAATGAAAACCTTATTTAATCGATTTTAAACACTTCTGGATCAAGCTGTTTATTTCATTCTCTGAAGCCTTTCATGCTACATCTACAGATCTAATTTCAGTGATTGATTACTGTGATTAAATGATAAAAGCATTTTTGTAAACTCTTGACCTCAATCTATGCTATCGTCTGGGAAGCCTGGTTTCTACTTGCTGTCTGTAACATAAAGAAGTTAAAGGAGGCAGAAACAATTTTGTTCATCTCAAAATATACCCATATGTGATAATAGAAGAATTAAAATAAATTATATGCTTCCATCACAATTCAGGAAAGTACTTTCAGATCAAATCGTTACAAATGCCTACAAAAGACTGAAATAAAGATTTAATGGTTGGACATAACATTAGTTTACTGTCCTGCCACATGGGCAAGTCAGGAAAATGAGCAGTAGCTTCAAGTATTCTCAGAGCTGTTGTAAGATTCTGCTGTTTCATCTCCTGCCATATCCCTTTGATTTCAAACTACAGTCTGTAATATTCTGATGGCATGGAGATGATCCTTGCCAGCAACAACAAAAAAAAATGGAATCTCACTTGTGTTTGCCAGTGTTGAGAGGGTTTGAACCCAGAGAATCAATAAATTCCAACAGGTGGAGATGCTAAATTCACAGTAGATTATTACCTGTTATATGTTCAGTATGTTTATATGTTCTTTTAACTTCTCACTTGAGTCAAAACCTGCACATTAGAATTCAAGTCCAGGAATTTTTCTTCAGGCTACATACGTACATGAATTCTGTATTAGAAATTGTGTGTGTATATAGAATAATAATAAGTGAAGGGGTTTTATCAGTAGTTATTAATTGGTTCATCTGTACTTCCTGTCTTACCTAAATGTATTCATTTTTTCACGTGCTGGGTTTTTTTAATTGACTCTGGTGACACTGAAAGTGTAAGTTACTGTAGGTGAGTTTATAAACACCTTTCTCCCATCTAATTACATGAAACAAATTTTGTTTAACACTTGTTCCCAATTAGATGCTAATAATTGGCATCTTGCATTGCAAACATGTAATCTAAGTCTTTTCAATTCCACTCTTACTCAAAGGGAATTTGACTGGATATGGACAGGTTAATAAAAAACTTTCGAGTATGATAGACTTCTAGAAAGTTTTCTAGGTGTTCGTGCTCAGTTTTAAATTAATGTGTATGTATTAATCCTTTATATGGAAGAACTCTTATTTGACCAAATTATCTCTTCCTAAATCATTGTTAGTTGTCACTTGTCAGAAGTAAGGTTGGATAGAGGACTTCTTCTAAATGTAGGATTGATGAGCACCTTGTAATTGAGCAAATCTAAAAAACCAGAGGCAAATTCAATTACTTTGAACGTCTGGAGTGAGATATAAGTCATTTCGATGTCCCCAACTGTAAATGAACTAACCTAAAACTGACAGCATGAGAGATGTATGAAATTAGCAGTAAATATTTAATTCTAATTGCAAAGAAATATGGTAAAATAAAACTGAGATAAGTCTTCAGTCTGTCTTTGGTGTTAAGCCTCGCTCATAGTTATTTAGCTTTATTAAATTTACGTTGGAGCACAGATGACTTTGGTCAGAAGGTTCCAAATTGTAGACAACTCTATCCCAAAGTATCGAGTTATGCAGGAAGTACAAAATGTAGCTACCATTCTGCATTGGTGTGGATAGCTAAATATTTAAAGTGCTGCAAAAAGCATGTTAAGGGCAGAGTTCTTTTGCTCTCCTCTGCCGGTATTGAAGCTGAATTGTTTGGTATTGACTGCTGCACATTTGAATAGCACCTTAGCATTGATTTTTAAGGTTTTACCATTACAGCAGTGTCTATCTTTATAGGCTCTCAAGGACATCATTTTCACGATGCAGATGATCATCTTTATTACAGTGAGATTGTTACTCATGGTAAATCTTCAAAATTTGGTTCAAAATAATAGGAAGGTCATAAAGTTGCTGCTATTAATCGTAGTATGTAGCAGAAATAAAGCATGGAGGTAGATACTTTGATTCTAGGGATGCTTGTGTATTAAAGGCTTAAATAATACAAGGATTCAACTGGCAGCTCGTAGGCTAACTCCAGATGTCAAGAGTTCTTTCAAAAGAGAATTGAAGAGATGAGGAGACAGCAAAGAGCTGATTGCTCTCCCCTCTGCAGACAATAAAGCCCTGCAAGTCCCCGTTGCTGCAGCACGACCCACACACTGAGATTTCCTCCTCCCGTGCTGAGATGTAGCACGTGGGACAGGGAGTTCTACGTCTGTGAATTTGTTTATTTCCTCTACAAGATGGCTCTTCTACAGTGCACTTCTTGGGTCTTCAGCATCTGTTTAGGGTTTGACATTGCTTTTTTTCTTCCTGCTGTTTGTCTTAAGTTTCTCTTGTTGCTACAGAAGGGTGAAGGGAAGTGGCATTGCCATGCTCGGGGCTACTTTGATTAGTGCTTTCCTTTTTTCTCACAGTGCGGGTGCAAGAAGAGGAAATATAAAAGGTTCCTGTAGTAAATAAAATCCTTGTGTCTATCCATTCACAAGGCTTATAATTTAGACTTGAACAATACTCTACACAGAGCGTAAGGCAAGCTTGACAGTCTTTTATCTTTTAAATAACTATCATCTAGATAAATTCTAGCAGTTTTTAAAAAATCTGAACTGAAAGAAAGAATCTTTGTAAAACTTCCTCCAAAATTTAAAAAAGTGTATGTCAAGAGATGAAAAAGAGAAATTGAAACAATTTGCTTCACTTGGGTTGTCACCTTAACTTGTAACTACAAGTTACATGTATTACCCAAGTATCCACATCAGAATAGCCAACTGGCTATTCTGATGTAGATACTTAGGTAATACATGAAATGAATGTGAGCACTGAAGAATTTCAAGTTATGATTCTGAGTTCTCAGATACAGATAATACAACATCTCGAATGTTGCGCATTACCTCGTTTCATTTTGGCCATGCATTCATTCAAGTAATTTTCCTAAGGAGCAGTGCTTGTGTGTGTGCATGTGTGTGACTGCATCCTGGAGGCTCTGCATGCCACTAAGACACAGAGAACCCCCCTGCTGTCCCCATCCCTTCAGCAGTGTGTCCAAGGTCACACTGAGGACGTGGCTTGGTTGTTGCCCTGGGCTCCGACACGCTCAGCTGGCTGCTCTGGCTCCTGGCTCTGCCACCAGCAGGAGAGGAGCAAACTTCATCTGTTGCCATTGCCCAGGCAGTGATGGATTCCAGCAGGCTCTCAGGATACAAACCTACCCAAAGAGCTGAACTCCTGGTTGGTAAAACCTGGTAAACTGAACGTTTTCCCAGTGGCAGGAGCACTGATAAAGACTCAGGGACAGTGTCTAATGGTGCTGATCATCAGCCTCCATGTGTGAACCTCGTGTGTCCCACTGACCCACGGCACCTATTCGGTACAGCCTTTAAAAGGGAGATTTTTGTCCACTAGAGCTGCTACTCTGGTTCATTTCTTTGCTCCTTGTTTCAGTATTACAGCCTGTCTTTGTGTCTGGATTCATTGCACCTCAGCAAATGCCCGGTTTGGTTTGTCTCGTCCTATTTTTACTGCGCTATTAGGCTGGGATTTGTGGTTTATATTTTGCTTTGGAACAATGGAAATGATACCAATAGAGATTTGCTTTAATCTTAAATTTGTTTAAAACATCGTGCATTGTGTAAGGAAATTTATTAGTGGAGCTGGGATGGGAAGAGATTGTCATAAAATAATAAAAAAGCATGGACATGTTTTGAATTAGTGTTTAAAATGAAGGACCATGGAGAGATTCAGGAAAATGGCAGATAAGTGCACTTGTACTTGTTTCAGAATAAAGTAAGGCTACGTTTAGTCCTTTGAGTGGATGGTTAATTAAATTATTCCTGCTAATTTGGACCCATTTATTTAGTGTGTTCGTTGTTTTAACTCGGGCACGACACAGTGATTGTAATTCTGTCTGTAAAGTTCACATTCGTGCTTATGGATTTTCAAGTATCCAGGGGCTGCTAGCTTTGTTGTTATTATATTTAACTCCAGCACACTTAAACTATTTAATTATAGTATTTTTGTAATGTCTGTTATTTAGACTTATCAATAATAAATTGGTTTATATGTGTGTGTGTGTGTGTTTTACAGCAACCAACAAGCATTTTTACTAGAAAACGTCCCCTGCAACAACGTGAGCTGCAAGAGCATCCGTCGCATGTTCAAAGTGTTCTGGGAGCTCTCAGATCTAAACCAGATCAAAGATGCAGTGGTAGCAACTTTCTTTGACATATATGAAGATGTAAGTTCAGCTCTGTACCCAGGAAACAGAGTCTGTGTGTGTGGCTGTGCCTGTCCCTGTGCCCTGTACAAACATTGGCTTTGCAGCATGTGATAACTTGTGGGTGGACCATTCTGTCTTAAAATTAGGATTCTATTAAAAGATTTTTGAAATATATTAAAATTAGTAGTGAAGTTGTAAACTTTGCTGCGCAGTATTTTTTTTCTTTGTGTCTCTAAGGGAATTTGTTGGCTAAATTTGGATGTTACCGAGAGTAAATAAGCGTTCTAATGTAAATTTGGGTTTTTTTTCCTCTAGGGAATTTTGGATATCATTGTGCTAAGCAAAGGCTACTCCAACAAGGACTTTGCTATCCATACATTGAAAAATAACTTTGAAGCAGATGCCTATTTTGTTAAAGTTATTGGTAAGTTATCACTGTATAATCAAGTCAAAATGGGATATTGAGAAGAATGTGGACATTTAAACATTTGTATATGAAAACTATGATAATGCTCTGTGTATGATAACTTTAGAAAAGAAAAAAAACACAAAATGGGAAATACTTGGGATTGCAGAAATCTCTCATTGCTAAATCTGAGCTTGGATTAGGTGGTTTTGTTTCATTTCAAAGGGGTTTTGGTTTTAGTTTACTTATTAAAATCCAAAGTAATTCTGACCAGTGTCTGCCTGGAGAAACTGCAGCTACCAGCATTAGAAGTCCTGACAACTAGATTAAAAAAATTGTCTCATAGATTTAATAGGTCTTGAGGGAAAGGGTTGCAGTAGCTGATCATAGGAGGCCCAATCTGTAGATTTTCTGTACGATACCTCCACTTACCTCCTCACATATATAGTGTTGTCAGTATAAAAATTGTGATAGATATACACATATATGTCATTCGACTTACATGTTATTATTTTAATTGTGTGAAGCTGTTTAAAATTTGGAGGAAGATTAGCTCATAGTCCACTAATTGGAGAAAAAAATGGGATGATTCTTGCACATATAAATACATATGCTGTGGTGAGACAGAAAGGAACCAAGAGAAATGACGATATTGATTGGAGGGACTGTGCTTTGCTTGTCCACAGTGACTGCCTATTCTGAGAAACAATAGCCAAGGGCACTTTTATTTATCTGTGCCTTGAGTGGTTCCAGTGTTTTCTTCCAGCCGGAACTTCTGTCCTTTTTGCTGTGCCTCTGCCTTATCAAACCTTTGCTGGAGTTCTTGTCTGTGTCATGTGGAAATGATGCAGAATCTTCTTCAAAATGGGCTGATTTCATTTCAGTGATTACTGGCGTGGTTTATGTTTTGTTTACACTGCATGGTCTGTTCTGAGGGTCAGTTTGCTCCCATGTGGGAGTCACTTTGGTGTTTTCAGTCTAAAAGGCACAAAACACACCTTACCTGAAAAGCACAGAATGGACACGGACATGGCCGGGGTGTGGGAATTAACGAGAGACTTGGTTTAAAAGGCTGGAGTTAGACTGTGATAGCCATAATTAAGAGCAATTAGGTTTTCCAATTGCGTGCCCTGCCCTGTTCTTCAGCTGCAGAGGTGTTGAGCTTTGAGCTCACTGCTTGTCTGTCTTCCTTAGTTTTTCTGAGGAGTTAAAAATGAGGCTGTATGGGAGCCTATGAGAACCAAGCTCAACAGGAACAACTAGAGGTTCACCTTCAAAAATTGTATTTGCCTTCATGTTAAATGCATCTAATCCTTCTAAAGCACACATCCTGCACACCATAAGGTGAACAGCACTGCAGTTACTATTGGGGACTGGTGCATTCATTACTTGGCTCCTTAACCTGAGCTCTGTCCTCACAGTAATAGCCTAGAATAATTTATCTTGTTGATCAGAGCCTTCTTTTAAATAATACCATGTGTGGGTAGTGTAATTCCCAAAAGCATGCAGCAAATCCTCTGGAAAAAACTTACACTTCACAAAGCCATATCAGAATTATAATTTTGTAATATTTTAATGGGAAAAGGAGTAATTTGCAACATGCTTGTTGATTCACTCTGTAAATCTATCTTATAAACTGGAGCAAGCCTTTTTTTAGCACCCTTTTAGGGGGTGAGTATTTTTGCATAGAAAGCCCAGGAAAAGGGAATTAATGAGTGGCTAAAAATATTTTTACTGTGATACAGGGGAGAATATTTCTAACAAAACCTGCTTTGTGGAGTTAGTGCATCAATAAATGCATTGTGCTCACTTATTTGGCATATGGACAATGAGAATAGCTTTGCTCATTATAACTGATGTCAAATCTACTTGGTCAGGTAATTTGTTCAGGAGTGAAACCGAACAGCAAATTTCAGTGTGTCTTTTTGCCTCAAAATGGGGTTGGTTGCACTTGCAGACACACTTATAACAGATAAAATTAGCCTATAGCTTTAGAAGTCTATTTATAGATACATATAGTCTTCAGATTCTGCTTTGGCAGACATTCATCTTACCTGTCCATGTTTTGGGGGAGTTTTGGATTGTATAAAATATTAGATTTTACTATATTTGGAAATTTCAATATTTTGAAATGGCAAACAAAGAGTGGTAACTTTGGAATCTCGACAGTTGCTAATAGTCACCCACAAAATATTAGAAAAATTCCTTCAGTAGAGCAATGCCACTTCTGACTCCCATAGGGAATGATTTCTAATTGGACTGTGAACATCTTACTTGCACCTCTTAGTATTTCACTGATCCCAAACATTTTGTACCCTATACTTCATGCAGCCTTAAAGTAGACAGAAGATGCTTTAAAAAATTCCTGGCGGTTTGGGTGACCTGCCCTCAAATCTGGTCCAAACCTTCCTTTTCTGTCTGCCACACTTGCTTTGGGATACCATAACTCATGGAGAAGTAATGTTTTCCCTTGGCTTCAGTACCTGGTGTGTATCCTCTTCCCTGCCCACAGCCATTCCTGGCCTGCTGCTCAACCAAACTGTTATCATTACAGTCCAAATTTTGCATCAGAATGGCACCTTAGATTATTTTGTGTGTGTGGTTCTTGTTGTTTTATTCTAATACTCAGTGGCAGGATGTTCTAGGTCACAGAACAGATGGATTTCATTGCTCATTGCTTAATTGTTTAACAGATTTCTGAATGTTACTGATTTTTGAAACGAATAAGTTTTAAACAAGTAATTGAACAACTATCACAGGCTTTAGATATTAAGTAGCGTTATATATTTGCTTATAATACTTTTGAATTATTAGAATAAATAGGTAGTGGGATTTTTGTTTGTTACAGCTTTTGTGAATAGCTTTAAATCAAGTTCCAAAACTATGCCTTGTATAGAAGGAAAAGCCTTTACCTTTTTATCAGTTAAGGCAATAAAGCTGAATCTCTGCCAGTATTTTAAATGGTTAGAAATGAAGAATAATGAATAAAATGTACAGTCCACTATTGTAAAAATTATTTAATTTAGATTTTTTTTAACTGTCAGATCTCTCCTTATGAAGCTGGTTAACCAGTGAGGTGGGATAAACAGTGACCAGCTGACAAATTTCTGCCAAGAAGTTTGCTTTATACAGATTGGGAAGTGTTATACATTATCATAACTCACATAGAAGACTTTGCTTTGCTTTGTTTTAATGGATACCTGACACTATTTGTAGACTTTATCAGGTTTCAGAGATAGTGCACCCAAGCTGGCTTGTGAACAGAAACACTACAAGCTCACTTCTTGTTTTTGCAGTTCTCAGCGGCCTCTGTTCTAACGACTGTCCTCGGAAAATAACAGTAAGTGGAACTATGACTCTGCATTAGTATTTAGCTTCAAATAAGCTGAAGTCTAATTATACCAAAAACTCTCAACATATTAAAAGACTTATTGACTGAAGGAATGTGTAATCCAAATCACGACTGGCCAAGTTCTGTGTCTTTGAGACCCAGAACTTTGTGCAGCTGCCTGCTCAGAGCTGAAATCAATTGACGGATTGTGCAGGGGGTTTGTTACCCAGCACTGGGGAGGCTGGGATATACCACACAAAAGGGAAACTTGGGTAATCCAGCTGGATGTCTGGACTGTGTATTGTGCCAAGGCTTGGTCTGGGCATTTAGAAAGTCCAGGCAAAACTGATAATGGGGATTCAGCCACAGAGTCACCTTGGGACTAAACTGCAGGAGTGGGTGCAGTGAAGGAAGGAAATGCACTGGGCTGTGAGAGTTCTGCAGATAGTTACATACACATTTGCATCTCCAGAGATCCTACAGCTCACCCACCAAACTGCCAATTAGCCAATTGTTTAGCAATGTTCAGGGTGAAAGTTGGCCTGGAAGAGAAACTTTGAGGAATCAGAACTAGCAGTAGCACTTCAGCTCTGCAAAAACATTAAATTGAAATTAGATTTGAAAATAAAAAAAAAATGTTTCCTTTGGGACCAGCTTTTTATTTCAGCCTATTTTAAGACATAGAGTTTAATTTCTGTTGTAAAATATTGAGGTTTGATAGTATTATTGGCTTAATTACAAATATAGGGAGGGTTTAAAAAGCAAATCTTCACAACAGATGTTGGAGAACATTTCATTATCAAGATCACTGAAACACTATTGCCTCCGTTGTACGAGAAGTTCTCTGTCAGAAAGTAACATAAAGTATATTATGCCAGAGTACAGCTACTTGACACACAAAAAAATTAAATTTCACCTTACTCATCTTTCATAGGTCTGCATTAACATCATCTCTCTGGTCTCCTTATTCTTCATTCTAATTAATTATTTTCAGGCTTTGATCTCATCTGTCATCATTATCACTTACTGTTATGGTTTGGAACTGACTGTTTTTTGAGGCATGGCATGAAACATATCATCAGCTCTTCTTTTAGTGTTCTTTCTGTAAATTATTTGAAATACCTTTACTGGATTTGATGCCGTAATAGCAGCTTGAATTCAGCACATAAAAAGAAAAAAAAAATTCCTTTAAATCTATTCTTAGAGTGGTTCTCCATCCTTTTTCTGCCCCACCATAGCAGGTAATTGTTTCCAACCCCTGCTTACTGAGGTGTATTTGTTCTGGTTCATACTCAGTAATACACAACTACCTTGGATTCCTCCCTCCCCATGACTCTATTTTGATGTTTAAGTACATTTTCTCCCTAAAGACAGTTTTGCTTAAAATAGATACCAGCACTTGACAAGTAACTATTCAATCACTTTCATGAATTAAATGAAACACTGCTAAGTGATGATTAAAAAAATGGACTTTGTGTAGTATTTTTCAATTCAGAAATACCATCAAGACTGTGCGTTCTCCCAGACAGCATCAAATGAGTTCTTCTTTTTGAGAACATACAGTTAATTCTTTGAATTTTTAGGGGTTTTTTATTTTACTTGTAGCTTCCAAGGAAACCTTAAGCCTTTTGCCAGAGGACTGAATAGTATTGCTTTCTCCATGAGAAACTAAACACCACTTTGCCAACTGATTACCCTTATTTTGAAAATTAATTTCCACATAATGCTACGACCAAAACAGTTGCAAGATTTTTGTAATTACAATATGAAAAATAAATTATTAATGTAGAAATACTTGTCTTCAATTTACTGTTCCTAACATTTTGCCTGCCTCTTTCTTTTTTCTTTTTCCCCCCCTCCTAGCCCTTTGGAGTTAATCAGCCTGGTCCTTACATCATGTACACCACTGTAGATGCAAATGGCTACCTGAAAAATGGGTCAGGTAAGCTAATCTCGTCATGAGAATACACATGTGTAAGTACTTCTCAGCAACCTAAAGAGCTGGAAAGTTTACAGAGCGAAATGGGAATGGTTTTGAAGAGTGTCTTCAGTTTACAATGCTAAACCCCCCCAACTTTCTCTTCTTTCTTTACAGATTGCATTTTTATTAGAAATATTGCAACTGCTTTATTTTTTCTTCTGTCCCTTCTGTGCCAGTTGGGTTTGAACAGTTGGCTGTATCTGAGAAATTGATGGGTACAATATCATCAGTTTGTGAAATAGCACAAGCTTCTAATTATATACTTTTCCTGTCAGTTCCTAAGCAGTAATGTATTAAGAAACAACAGTGGCCTTGACATACCTAAATAGAATCATAGTAGCCATATGAAAAAGGATCAGGATAATATCCAGTAAACACAGGATGTATTTGTCTGGATTTGCTCACTACATCTGTCAGACTAAAAAAATCAAATCATGAGTAGCCTACAGAAGCTGGAGAGGGAACAGCTGCATCCTTTCCGGTAATAAAAGAACTACAAGGTATCAAAGAATCATCAGGTAACAGGCTCAAAAGAAATGGGAACAAGTGCTTTATGAAACTTAAAAGCTTAACTAGTGGTTTAATGGCCTGAGATATTGCAGATGCCTCTGTTTGCAGGAGGCCAAAAACAAACAGCCAAAAAAAAATAACCCATGAGGCCATGGTCCAAGCAGGACCTGGGGTTAGAATACCCTGGGATGAAGGCTGCCTTCCTGAGTGTGCACTGGTGGCTTGTGGAAGACACAGGTACTTAGTGGTCTATTAGTCCAACTTATGACTGTTAATCTTAGGACTAGAAAGGACTCAGTTCTTGCGTAGGCAGCATATCCCAAACTCTCAAGCTGAAACATGATCAGAGTGTGCAGTCTGTGAGTGGTGCCACTGTGGCTCCTTCCCCAGGGGGGCAGTCACCTGCATCTGTCACTCCAGTCTCATTTCAAATTAAACACTGATTTAAAAAATAAAAAAAAAAGTTTCCAGCAGTGCACTGGGAAGACTGAGTTCTGTATAACACTGATTTAAATCATAGCAATAATTTTAGGGGGGGAAATGCTGGCATTAAAGTCCTAAATCAATGGGTCCTCTTTGGGGCTCTTCCCAAGAGCTGCTGTCAGAGCTACTGGAAACTCCTACAAATTCTATATTACAAAAGTTTCCAGCCTGCCACTGCAAGTTCAGTGAGTGCATTCATTGGGTGAACAGGCATCTAAATGAAGAAATCATGGGTGTAAAGGAGTGCAATGTATTTATTCCCTCGGGCTCACTGGAACTTACTGCAGGCCTGCCTAAATCTGGTGCACACATGTGAATATAAATTAACTTAATGCAAGCACAGCTTCCTACTTCCTTTGGCCACTTGACTTGTGAATCCCATCTTATTATCAGAGAATCAGGAATACTGATGACTAACTCTGTCTTAAGTAACAAAAAGGAGGTATTTTGCCTAAGAAACACATTAGTAGAACCATCAAACTGCCCTTTGTTCTTCTTCTTTAGAGAAGTGATATAAATTGTCTGTAAATCAAAAAAACAACCTTTGTTTAGGTCTAATTATACTCATTTAAATTCATTGTTCATGTAGTCAGAGAAGTTTTTCACTCTTACTACTTATTTATAATTAACACAATCTCCAACTTAGAAATCTGATGTTTTTTCTTTCTTTGTGTCATGGAGCAATGCACTTATCTTAGAAATTTCTTATATCTTTGTGGAATAGAACTAGCTTAAAATTTGGATCCCTTTCATGTATCATTTTCCTAATTTTTTTTGTTTGTTTCTTTCTCTGTTCCAAGAACAAAAACAAATACATTTTTCTTAAGCATTATCTTTAGGGTTTGCTGAATTTGGTTGGTTATGACTTTGTTGTTTGTTTGTTTGGGTATTTTAGGGAGGGCAGAGCTTTTAGAAATGCAATGTTTTTACAATTTACTCTAAGAACAGCTATCAAATATGATTTAATATTGCTATATTCCCTTCACTGCTACCATATTTACAATAATAAAAACCTAACAGAGTCCAGACATGATGAATTTCCTTTTCTGTTTTGACGTTAGGAAATAACAGTAATGAATTCCAAGTGCATTTATGACCCTAGCAGGATTGCTACAGGGAATTTTCTAATGCTGCCTTTGATCAGTTTCTCAGCTCTAATAAATTAATAGATTTTTTTGAGACTGCATAATTCCTGCAAGAACTTTTCAAAGTCGTGTTTTCTGAAGGTATTGCATTAAGTTAGTAGCTAGACTTTCTTCTTTTGCAAGTCCTGTTTGTAAAATTCAGTAAATGTTCCAACTGCAATTCCTGGCCTACAGGTTGTTACCTTGAAAAACAGCCCATTACATCATAATCCTATTCTATTTGACTGTCAATAAATACATCAAGCAGTGCTTTTTATGTGTACTGGTAGGCAATACCAAACCCACATGGTATTTTTGGGCCATGTATAAACCTACAAAACATCTTTTCTGCATTAAGCTTTTTAAAGTATGCCATCAATGTTCTGTTTTAAAACTAATTTTCATCAACCTATTTTCATTCCTTATATAATATTATGGAACAATCCATATCTGAAACTTTTAATTAACTGAAAGAAATAATGAGACAATAGAAAATTTGAAAATAATCAATCCATTTCCCAAGAAATAATGTGAGTAAAAACATAGTTCTCTTTTTAATAAAACCAAAACTCATCATTACTTTTTTCGTCCCCCCTCCAAGTCAGCTGATGTTACTTATTGGCTCTAGGGCTGGTCTCAACAGAGGAAGAGGTATTGGCAGGACTACTGAAACCAGTCACTTTAAGTTATCCCTCCAGCCCCAGCCTTCAGTAAATCATAAAGTACTCAAAGCAATTTCCCCATTCTGCTTCTGATCACCCAAATTCTGCAGGACTTTAGTTGTGAACTGTGGTACCTTTCATGTAGGCAATATTCGTGCAAAGAGTAAAATAAAAAGGCCCATATGGCTGTTCTTATCTAATTCATTTTAAGGTCCTTTGATCTGCCAAGCCTTAACGACAGGAAATTTGCATAATTATGAGGGCTTTTTTAAAAACATTGTTGGAATTGTTCTCTTTCCTATTAACATTCCTGTATGTTGTTAAAAGATATCAGAATAATAATTAGCGTGTATTCTCTGCTTTTACCTTCCCATTGCTCAATTCACTTGTAATCTTAAAACAAGAAATAGTGTTCAATTAGCTACAGGGAACAGCAATTGCCATCATGAGCATTAGAATGGAGGAGTACTGGGCCTTACATCTGGGGTTAGTATCTCCACAGACCTTCTCCCCTTGAGAAGAAAATCAACTGCAATAGCTTCTTCAAATATTTAAGGAATTTTGTGCTTGAGAGATCAGGTCCAGGTGTAAATCTGAGGGAAGCACACAAACTCAAATCTAAGCCACGCTTTCTGAACAATTTCCTGTGATCTACCTTCTCCATCCCCGTCTGTCTTGGAGCTGTTATTGTTAAGGAAATCCCACAGTTAAGTATGAGTGCCAGCCAGGATTTTCAGCTCTATGTCTGCATTTCCAGGCTTTCATTGGATTTTATTGGGAGAATATCTTCTGTGTTTCAGCCGGCACTACGGACATCTTAATTTTCTCCCTTGAAGTAAAAATACACTGATGGAGTTTGAAATAAATAAGGTCATAATTGCAGGTTGTGTCTACCAAACATACTAATCCTATGGGCCAGGAACAACAGAACAATAAATGTTTAAGGTTTATCAAAGATCCAGATCCACATGTGGGCATGAGGTGATCCTATGAGTGGTTCCATTGAATGGCTCATATGGATCAAGCCATAATGTGTTTAAGCATCTGTATGACTGAAGCTGTGTGGACTGATGGCCTTTGCAGCTCTCATTTCACAGCTCTTTCATTTTGCTGGGTTTGCTTTGTTTTGTTTTAAACCTTCCATGGCAGAATGACCTTTCACATGCTGTGAAGTCGTGCCCTTCTGGTTTTTTGAAATCTGCTTACTCTTCCCTGTTGTTGCATTGAGTTCTCCTGCTGTCTAACTAAATTGAATTGTGAGGTGAACACAAATGTCTGGCAGCCTTTATAGTCACGAATTTAAACATAAACATTGCAATATGTACCAGAAAAAAGCAAAACAAGCTTATTTTCAATGGCCATTTGACACTTGCTCAGTGTAGTAGGGTTCATTGTGAGGAATTCCACTATATAGAAAGAAGAGCGGATCCATGGAACAAGCTGGAATAATTCAATAATTGAATAGCGGGATTCTATTAAGAGGGATTTTTTCGTTGCTATAGGTCAGAATACCCTGCTAGTATGTTTTTCTATATAACTTTCTTTTGTTTAGAAAACTATTTGAATTTGTAACGTTGCATGAAATATTACCTCACCTCAGATATTTAGGCATTACAAATGACCCAACTTGTCCCCATGCAAGTGATTGTAATATCAGCAATATGATAATTTTATCATTTGAGGGGTTTTAAAGACTTACTAGTTTTACTTTTTTGGTTTTATGGTGCAAAGTTATCTGTCTTGAAAATACATATTCTCATATAAATGAATCAGGTTTGGAGTTTGGATTTGCAGAGTAAGTGTTGGCAGCACTGCAAGTCATTGGTGCACTTTGAATTCCCTTTCCCATATCATTTCTAGGACTGCAGAATAAGGTATTGCAGAAAAGGTTGAGGTGAAGTTGTGTACTGCATTAATCTGGAATTTCCTATTGGGTAGACAAAGGAAAAGAGGCAACCACCTAAGGAGGACAGGGAGACACCCTCAGCCCCAGAAAGTTGCAGTTACCACTGCATAATTTTAAGCAGAAGAAGAGCTGTTTCCCCACTGCTTTTTTTCCAGCCAGTGACCTGCAGCTCCAAAGGCAGTAGTAAGGGAACTGAAGTAAAGCTGTCAACCAAAGCCAAGGAAATCAAATTCTCCAAGTTTCTAAAAAGCTTTCAAGTTTGAAGTTGTTGGGCTTTTGTTTGGTGTTTTTGGTTTCTTTTCTGAAAGCTGCTTTGTAAATTCTTAAGGATGTTCTGTGGATCCGTAATTACTATCAGTTGTACTTTCCCTTTCTCTTGCTGTAAGTTGTTTTGGCATATTTTCAAGTAAAATAAAGTGCTGCCAGCTTCAAAAGATGGGGAAACACTTTGTGCAACATAGCACAGTACTGAGAATGGCTGTAAATTAAATATCACTGTAGTGTTTCAGCTGTGCACCTGAAGTGACACACGTTCACCGGGAAATGGGACTTAAACCTTGAACTGGCTTTGGCTCATGCCAGCTGTTGAGTGCATGTTGTTCCCAGCTGTGCAGCAATCCAGGCAACTTCTGCACGGCATTTTTTTGGAATAATTTTTACTTTTTCTAGGATGTATATGTTTATCTAATCTATGTAAAAGCAGTCATTTGTGTGTTGATCTCAGTATTAAGGTAGGTGATGGTACAGAATGACACTAAAGGCTACAACTCAGATACTGTTTTTTTTTTTACCGGAAAAGATGCCTGCATTGTCAAAATGTAAAAATAATGTATATCTAAAACTAAGCAATTCCTTGTTACATTTTCTAACTCCATTAGATTTTTCGGGTTTTTTGACAAGTTGATTCACATTTCACAAATACCTTCAGTTACTATTCTGGTGAATGTATTAAGGTTTCTGATAAATGCATCATTTTGCAAATTAGAAAAAAATGTAGCAACTGGAAGAAATAATGACATAACATTTTTATGTATGAAAATATATTTAGCTTTTCAGCGCTAATATATTGAATTTTGGGGAACTTTTGAAAGCCTAAATATTACTGTATTTTGAATTAATCTGAATGGCTTTAATTGACTACTTAAATGCAAATGATATTTTGTCAAGAAAATCATAATAAAAAAATTAGAAGAATGGTGCTTCAGGAAACCACAAGCTTGAAATCATTTTCCATTAGTCTTTCAGTTCCGTGTAGTGATCTTGTATGTTCTGCTCTATTTAATTTCACAAAATAAGCTCATTTAAACTGATTGAACACTATCAGTATTGTACATCTATTTCTGTAGGTTCAGGTAGGCTGTTCATAAATCCAGTATCAGTGCTGTTTAAACAAGGCTTTGCTTCTACATGTAAACACGCTCACCTCCCCTTCAGAAAGTGAAATTCGTCATTTAAGCGCTTCTGCTGCCTGAAATAAACTGCTGAGGATGTTACAGTTCAGCTCAGGGGAGAGCAGGTACCCTTGAGCTTTCAGCAAGTTTACATCAGGGTAATGAGAACAGAAGGAAAATGACTTAATTCGGTATAAAAGAACAAGGAGTGCGTGTGTCACAGACGACACATCACTCTGATTTTCAGACAAGACTTGGGAAAGGTTAATGACACGTAGTGCTTCCAATTTTATATGCCAGACTTCAGAAGTAAAGAGATTGATTCAGAGATGTCCAGAATGGTTTCTGAATGTAAAACTGCAAAATCTTCTGAGGTTTGGCTACCCAACATCATATTAGCTCTTTCTTACGAATTTGATCTCTGACAGGCTGAAACCACTGAAAACTGTGTGCTAAAATGTTGAGGGTTTTATTCTTCCTAAGGTTTTTTGAAGCAACAAACTTAGTGATTTATGATTTAAAACAAAAATACAAACACCCCCCCCCCCGCCTTGTACTGACAAGCCCATGATATCTGGATGTTCGAAATAACAGATTTGAAACAAGAAGCATAGGGCAAAAGACAGAGTGTTGAATAGTCTTAAAAGTAGTGTTGAAAAGAAAAGCATGGTCAGGAGGAGTATTTTCAATTCTTGTTTATAGTAACAGTTCTACTTATGAAGCAAAACAAACTGTGAAGTAACAGCCACTTCTTCTATCTGCCTGCACAGACCTCCAAAAACCTAAAGAACAATTCTAGTGTAAGAAATAAATCCCACCCTCCTCCTTGAAGATGCAACAGTATTTTCAAATTTTCTTTGAGCAAGTAGAAAACTGTTCACAATAGTTTTACAACAGGGCAAATTGCTATTTAAATTAAATTTGAAATATTTGTGTAAGTAAATTAATTACCAATGACTGAGAACTTCAGATATGACAATAAACTATTGACTCTACTCTCTGTAATTTCTTGTTTTATTTTTCAACTTGGTTCAGGGCTTTTATGTTTCTCAAATGAGCAGTTGTCATTCTTAATTACTTGGTTGCAATTCTGAGTGGAATATTTTGGTAAGCATCAAACAGAATTTTTGATAGATACAGGGGGAGTAAAGCAAGAAGTAAACTCAGAGATCTCATGTGCTTACTCAGCTTTAATGTAAACTAGAACCTTCTATGTGCTATCATCCTGCTTGGTTATTACCTTCCACTTTAAAGGCAAATAAAAAAATAGGTATGTGCACATTTTCTGCCTGCTGTGTAGAGGAAAACATTCCTTTCTGACCTTTGCAAATGATCTATTTACATCCTGAAGCATAAAGATTTCATTATCCTTATCTTCGTAGGCATAAGAACCAGTGTTAGGGGCCATGAAATTATTCAGTGCTTTAAGAATTGCAGCTGCAGTATCTGACTCTCTAACCTCTTTAAGGCTGACTGCACACAGTATATGACATTTTCTTCTATTTCCTTTAATTTAGTTGACGTTCATTTCATTTGTATGGTGAAAGAAAAAAGCAAGATCTTAGTGGCAGTCTTTTCATGATTCTAAATATTTCACTCAAAAGTAACTCTAAAAGCTCTTCAGTGTTATATGTTACAGCAGTACATTGTTCTTTTGGGGAAAATCCTTCAGTATTAGTGAACCAAATTTTAAAATTCGTTATTACAGCATGATCAAGTAACACATACCTGATTTGTTTTTATAACTAAGTCAAATTTAATAAACCCACCTTTACTCCTTGTCACTTTTATGTTGGTTACCAGAGCTTTCAGATACTATGTTTCCTCTGATTTGGGAATTATTCACATTTTAGATTTGGAAAATGACACCTAGAGATTGAGCAATTTAGCCAAGATCATGTCAGGGAAGGCAGTGACAAAGCAAGGACAGTCTCAGGACTCAGATCCTACCCTGTTATCTCAACTTACTGAAAAAATCCCTGTTCTTGAAGAGAAAAGCTGTTCATCAGTGCCACATCTTTGGGAAATTTACCTAACAGTGTGCACAGTACACCTTGCCCTCCTAACAGCACTGAAAGTACAAATCCAATTTAATATTTCTCATCAGCTTGCTCATTACATGGCTGACACAGGGGAAAAGTAAATCTAAAATATGTATAATCTTTAGGAAGCCTTACTGGTTTTTTTTGCTAATAGCATTTTAGCTTAATAAAGACGTAACTGCATCAGGCTGATTTTTCAGATCTCATCTGGAGCTCTGTATTTAGTTGACATTTATCTTCCTTTTTAAAATAAAATTATCATAGCTCTAAAGCTACAATAATACAGAATATTTACCTCATGATTAAACGGGCCTGTTTCAAAACATGTCTGACAGCAAATGGCAAGTGGCTTCCTCAAGAGCTGGTGAAGGGCAGGGGATTCAGGAAAAGAGAACATGAAGTAATCATTGTATTGAAGAGGGATTCAAAATCATCATCCTTCAATACTAGAGCAAAGTGCCAACTTCCAGAATCAAACCTTGGATGAGAGTGTGGAGAGGTAAAAAAGAGTTGGCTGTAAATCCACTACAAAATGTGAATGTCTGTTCTTTAATTCACATTTGGCTGTGTTTTGTCGCTTAATTTATGATTTCTAGTTTCAGGCAGAATCTCTCAGGGGTCAAAGCAGAGAAATATCTGATGTTCTAGAAATACTGACTACATCACAGCCACGTGAAAAACACTTCCTTTTGGTCACGTAAACCTACTTGTGGCTGTCAAGTATCCCTTGAACTCATTTCTGTTAATCCGGGCTGAATTCCTTGCGGTTTATGAGGTGCTGATGTAACCTGCTGTGTAACCAGATCCCTCACTAAGAGGCTTTCTAGAGAATGAGCAAAGAATCTACAGAGCATCTGAATCTGTTTACCAGAAATTAAAAGATTACAAGATTTTTTATTTCAATGGAATAACTGAATACTTTGGAAATGGGATGTCAATGAACTTGTGGATATCTGCAACACTTGTCTCTTTCCCTGCTACCTTTTCAAGAAACCTGGAATCTGTTTTTTCCCCTCCAGTTTCTCCTTTAATTATTATTAACTTGCAACAACTGTAATCCTGTTTTCATTAAATCAATTTATTATTTGAACATTTGTTCATGAGAATTTACATAGCTAATTTTGTGACTCAGTAGTAATTACTGATCAACAAGAATTAAAGTGAGCCTTCATATGTCAAGTCTGATCTTGTAAATCAGTGGGGCAAAAGACTTGGCACTAATCATATCAAAATAAATGTGGATAGTTGATTTCTTCTCACCTTGTAACAAATAAGAGAGATTTGTTTTAATATATTAATGGTGCTCAAAAGAATTCTCTTTTCTAGAAATAAGCATTTAAGCTGTTCTCCTCGTGAGTGCCTACAAATAATTTGCAAATGTGAGATTGAGCCTTTAAGAAATAATCAGATGATTGGTGAAATATTGTTAAACATTTGTATTCCTGACTGTGCAATGTGTGTTTGTCTAGCAAGTTGGTAGTTTGGAGGTTGATTTGGTGGGGTTTTTTTCACCCAAAATACCTACTTGGTCTTCTCTTCTGGTTTTATTTCAGCTGGACAGCTCAGCCAGTCAGCACATTACTCTCTGCAGTTGCCCTACAACGTGCTGGGTTTGGGACGCAGTGCCAACTTCCTGGACCATTTGTATGTTGGCATTCCTCGTCCCCTGGGAGAAAAGGTGAGCTGAGATTTAAAACTGTCAAGCTAATGTTTGTGGTGTTACCTTTCCTAAAAGAGTTCGGATAGAAATACTGCTAGGGATACTCTTTATTTTAATTCTCTGAAGTAAGAATATCAAAGAAGTTTTAACACAGAAAAGTTTGCCCCACAGAAGAATGTTTTGGTGGGTATGTAAGCTCTGAAGCAAACACTAAGACCAAAGACCAGTGGATGACTGAAGCTGTCTCTGAAGTGTTAGCTCAGGTATGTAGTTTGTAGGGCAAATGAGTATTAGATCTGACAGTGCAATTATTCTGGACTGTAATAGCTGTAAGGCTTTCCTGGAGTTGGTCTGGCCAGCCTGGAACTCACAGAATCCTTTCTGCTTTGGTAATAAAATCATGATCAGTGTGATGGGAGGTGGAGATTACTGTGATGCTCTAATCTTCAGATGAAACATAAAAGTGGGGTCCTCACCATTTCCAGTCTTTAAAGATCTGATGGTACAACTTTAAGAAGTAAGGTACTCAAATTGGCCAAATTCTGATTTGGATAATTGCTTTGCCTGCCTCCTTTGTAGAGTCGATTCTTTTCTTCTTTCCTTATTATGTTGTTGCTTTGTACTTTTTAAGCAGATGCTGTGTTTCATGTCAGAAATAGTTATTTGCTTTTTAACTTTTTGTGGGTTTTTTTAAAGCACTTTGGAGTTTTCAGAATAAAAAGTTTAAACAAAATTAAGGGATTAATCTCATATACTTAAAATTCCTTTTTAAAAATGGGGGTTTGTTTCTCCTTTTGTATGTTTCAACAGCGAATTTCTTTCCTTTTAAGTATATTGTTTTGTTAGGAATTGACAGAGTGTGTTTTTTTTTCAGTCCATAAGAAAACAGGAATGGACAGCTATCATACCAAACTCCCAGCTCATAGTCATTCCCTATCCTCATAACGTTCCTCGAAGGTAACTCTATCATTTTGATTTGCACTTCACAAAATTACATTAATACATGTTTTAAATTAGGCATTATATGTAGGTTTAAAAACAGTTACTTGTATAAAAGTAAATTGGAGAACAAGGGCAGGGGGTCAGTTCTGAGATGCAGCTGCCTCTGACCCTGAGCAAGATCCTTCTCAGGTATTTACACAGACTCTCACATGGTGCCTGGAAACAATCAAAATCTATTCCCACCTCATGCAAACAAGTAAAATGTTTTACCAGCTCAACACCCGTAAATATTTGCTGGATATACCAATATTCTTACTGACAAATTACAAAAAAAGCATGGGAGTGGTTGATTTAAGCATTTTTTGCATCAGTTATGCAAGTTCTGTGTGGGTCCATAGGAGAGCTTTGGCTCAGCCCTTCGAATGCAGTAGCTGTTGCTGCAGGTGTGAAGGTTCTTCCTTAGGTAAAGGTGAATGGCTTGGTTACACGAGAGCTTGAACACAGAATTCACTTTGCAAATGAAATGTTTATCCCAGAAAGAGAGCGTGTTTCTCTCCCTGCTATTAGAGAACACATTAGCCAAATATTCCAGCTGCTTTTTGCCGCTTGATCTACCAGTGAGGTCAGTTGCATTTATCATGCAGAAATGATTCTGACATCAGTTTCAGCAGTTAATTTTACTATAGGACAAATAACAGTTAAGAAGTGATGTGCTGCTTGAGTTGCTAATTAACAACCACAGAAATAACATCTGCCAGATGAAAATTTAGTTGTAGTCTGGAGGTATTTTAAGGTAGGAGTTGCACAGAAAAATTTCTGTCATCCCTAAACTGTTTTTGCTTTCCTATAAAGGGAGTTTATGGACACTGGAGAATAGCAGAGGATAGAATCCCCAGAAGAAATAAAACTTCATAATAAAAACCTCTTAATTTTTTTTTAATAGGTACGATATTTCCTGAGAGGCCTCAGTGCTGCCACAACACGGAGCCTGCTGCTGATGGCTGTCCCCTGACAGGAAGCTGTAGTACAAAAAGGGTGTTCACTGACCCTCAGGGCCCCCCACTGTTTGAGAGATGTCTTCCAGAAGCCCTTACAACATTTAATTTTGTTGCTCTCCAGCATTCTGCTGCCATAATCCACTGGTTATATTGCCTAGAACAGCATTTGTCCCTGGGTAAACGTCAAACTGAGAGAACTGGCCCCATGAGCCTGTCCAAGAGCAGCTTCTCATGTGGAGGAAACATCTTACTGGCTTATTTTCCTCTGCTTCTCCGTGTCCCCAAGCCCCAGGCTTTTTTGTGGAAGTTTCTCTTATGCATTTTACTTTGTCCCAGGCAGGGGCAGGAGATAAATCTCCTAATGAGAAAAAACTCATTCCCTGAGGATATCCATGGCATTCGTGAAAAGTTAAGCAGAAACTGCATTTAGACATGGTATTACTGGAAAATAATTATATTAAGCCATATATTTCCAAGTAAACATCATTAAGCTTCAGTCTCTAAGTAGAGTTGCTCACTTCTGTAGACCAAGTTGTCACCTGCCTTACCCCAACAGGTTCTTCTCATCTTTGTAAGTTAAATCTGTTTTCTGCTTCCTAATGAAGGGTATTAATGTTTCCTTGGATTTTTTTCCTTTGCATAGCTGGAGTGCCAAGCTGTATTTGACCCCAAGTAACATTGTACTGCTCACAGCTATAGCCTTAATTGGTGTCTGCGTTTTCATCCTGGCAATAATTGGCATATTACACTGGCAAGAAAAGGTAAGCTTAATTAACTAGAATATTTCCTATACTATTTACACTTCCTAATGTTTTACAGCCCTGTACATTGGGGATTCTTTTGACTATTTTTCTACGGTATAATTTCTGACACGGGTTGAATTGATTCCCAAAAAGTCTTTATTAATTTAGTATTCACTGCAAATTTAAAAATTGGCATTGTTTTTATTTAAGCTCTAAGTCACTTAAAAAGGGAAATGAAGAGCAACATGGGCAAGCTTTTGCAATTAAGCTGTTGTTTCCAACTTAAATCTGTTTCATATCTAAGCTTTCCATTTCGCAGTTTTAAGGAGAACTGTTTTAGAAAATGGAACATAAACTCAGTTTACTTATCTTGAGTTCTGCTGTTAATCTAAAAATAAGGAAAACATCTTTTTTTCTGTATCTATCTTTGCTGATTGCATTGACATTAGCATTCAGGAATGCATAGGGAGTCAATCATGGGCACGTTGGTTCTTTGCTCTGTGGGTCTGAATTATACATGCAGTGTATAGAAATCCATTGATTTGAAGAAGCATTTTGAAAGGGGCCTTTCATGTCACAAAAGAAATGCGTTCCCATTTTTCTCAACTCTGCTCAGTTCACAATCATATCCAACTGGCAGGACTGCCAATAAATGCTACTACATACCCAAACCATAATCCTAGCTGTCAAATAAAATTACTGCCCATTTTGACATGGTAGAACTGTTTGTTATTTTGTGCTTGTGGAAATAAAATGACCTTGTTAAACATTCAGGCGGGCTTTGCACATGCTTTGTCTTTAAATGGTATTTGTCTGTCAGTCTTCACTCTTCAAAACTTTAAATACAATCCCCGAGTAATAATAAAGCTGCAAATGAGACACACAAAGCAAAGAAATATGAAATTTATGATGACTGTCATTAGTATGTCCTACTGTACCAAGAAAGCTCTGCTAACTGGGAGTTGGGCTGGGCACTGGCTGGGTTTAATTCTGTCTCCAGCATATCTTGAGCAACAGGAGTAGCAGAAAAGGTACTTGGACTTTGAGTTGGGGAAGGGTTGACTATGCATAATTCCATCTGGAGAAATGGAGATTTAATGGCACCATTTAAAACAGTTTTTCATACAGTAATTCAAGCATTGCCGTGTAAAGAAGGACTCCGCCCAGAGTACTTTTGGAGCCATTTTAAGCCCCATGACATGTATGTGTATGAAGTGGTGTATTGATTATATTATAAACTCATTTCCAACTCTGCAGTCTTGCTCAAAATAGGTTCAATATTTGGATAAATTGTGTGTATTTTCAGACCACTGTATAAACATGTTTTAATTCCTATACTTTTCCTATTGATTTTACCTTCCCACTTTTCAGAAGAACTGCTGAGGTACTGAACACATAAGAATGTTCACTAAGGCTGCATCACTGACATTTTTAAAGTTAAACTCCAAAGTTCCTTGTTTCTAAGCTTGTTCTTAGCTTACTGTCTCTCAGTAATCCTCTCATAAAAACACCATCCTGGCTAATGCCATTTTCCCATGCAGATCTCTGGAGTACCTGTAGCAAAGAAAGGAAGGGGATATGTACTGCCACTTAAAATCTTTCCTATCCCCCAGAGGATGTGTGTCTGTGAGCTGCAGTGTTTTATTCAGCAGCTAAAATAAACCCTGTGCTTTGACCCCTGTAGATGGGTAGTAATAGGAGCCCTTTGTCTGCAATAGTTCTCACACACTCGTCTGCCAGCCAAGTATTGTAGCATGGAAATAACTGTAGGGTTTAGGGTAGGTGTTGCTGTCATGCCTTAGAAATTGTGGATCCATTTAAAAGGAAAAAAAAAGAGCTTTGAAATCTCAGTTACTAGTTTTTAGTTTTGATACATCAAATGAAAGAGTAATTGAGGAAGAATTGACACCATTATTCATGTTAGCACAACTACAGTGTGTTCCATTCGCTAAGGACCTCGATCTTGCTGTGTTTCCATTCTTTATAATGTGCTTTGGGGTCTCGAGGCTGGTCATGTGAGCATTGCACAGTGATGGCAGTGCTGCCAGAGAAGGGTTTTGATGGATCCACCAGAGTATCAGTTACTGTCAAATTTGAAGCAGTAATTTTTTCAGGAAGCATCCAAGAAATGGAGTGAAAATTGTTTTCTAAGTGGGACTGTGAAATTCTGTGGAATGTGACAAGCATTTCAATGTAGGAAAGAGTGTGCCACTCCCTCCTTCCCACCCCTTTTTTGACATTCAAAATTCTAGTGACATTGATAAAATCCCTGCCAAAAAAGCCAGACTGATACATCTTAAACCTCACTGACAGCTCTGGTGCTGCTACAAAATGCAGTAAAATCCATACTTAATCCAAAGGAGTTGCTATCACACATAAACATTGTGTAATGAGGAAATATTTGGCCCTGAACCAAAGCAGATGACAAACTTCCATGGCAGGAGACGTGCACCAATTTTTACAATTGTGGTGTATATTTATCAACTGAGATACAAATCTGAGTGCCCACACAACAGCACACTGGAGAGGCTTTTCTTTGTTTTACTCATCAAAAAAAGATGGGTCTAAGCAGCTAAAAAGCATTTCAATCTGTTTTGCTAAATTCTCTCATGCTGGGATTTACACATACTGTCTGTCATGACAAAAACACTGTTTTCTAGAAAAGTTCACACTGTGTTCAGAAATCCTTAGAGAAGTGCTTCCATCCTCTGTTACTGCTTTAGCACACAAGAGGAGACTTGTGGGAGGAGAGGACGTTTTTACACATTACATGGATTGTAGATACAATTTAAATATACTTATTTTTTCCAAGCACCATCTAAACTACTCTTTCAGCAGGTCAGTGTGTGGGAAGTGCACCTTACTTCACATTTTCATAATACAAACCAAAAACACAGAACGTTTTTAGCCTACCCGGTGCTGTTAATTGTTGGTTGAACTGCCATCTTGGTCTAAATTTGTATTTTAACAGAATGGGTTTTTTTAAATGAGATTCTTCTGAAGAGTAACATAAACGACATTTACAGTTAATGCAGAGTACTTTCCTCTCATATTTGTAATGCAAAGTAAATGCATCGTAGGAAACAGTTTTCAGGTTTGACTTATTCCTTTTAAAAAAGCATTATTAGAAATAACAGAAAATAATGGGTCATAAATACTACAAAAGCAGAGCATTAACAGCAGAAACCAATTTTGCATAGATTATTGCTATTTCAAGCTGACATTATTTAAAAGTTAATTATTGAGGTTTTCAGTAAGCTTTCTTGCCTTTTGTCAAATGAATGACTCGGAAAAAATCAACCATTCTCTGACATTTGACAACTCATTTCTGTAGCAGTATTGCTCTAGATTCCACAAAGTGTTTTTTTATTAATATTTTTCAGAAAGCAGATGACAGAGAGAAGCGACAGGAGGCTCATCGGTTCCATTTTGATGCTATGTGACATGCCTTAATATTTATGAAGGAGCTGCTACTCATTTGCTTAATTGAAATACTGAATTCTGGGTTTTAAGATTATTACCGTGAAAATACTGTTGGTGTGTTATTTGTAAATGTTGCATTATTTGGTATTTATTTGCAAAGTATTAAAATTAGACCTGAATGTCTCTCAAGGCCTTTCTGTTAACAGCCTGTATATAATAGCATTTGGCCTTTATTTAACAGAACTGTACATTTCTTTTTCTTAGTAAAGGGATCAAGTTGCATGAACTTGTTTATGTACCAATTCTTTAGTAATATTTGATAGAAAGAAATATGTGTAAATCAAGTGTTGCCATCTCAGCAAGCAAAATACTTTGTACCACTTGAATTGGTCTCGTCATTTATTCATTCCTGCAAAATAACCTGATTTCTGAAAATTAAACATGAGCAATTTCTCAGATGACTTAATTGTTAATTCTTTTGATTGTATTAAATGGTGCTTAATCTAAAGTATTCTGTATTTTTCCTTGTTTAAATCCATCTCTGCAGTAGTTAAAGAACTTAGGAATTAGAGAACCAAAAGAAACCTGCAATGTAATGCTGGTTCAGTCATCATGGGATAGATGCAGTATTTATGTGTGCTAGTTCTGGAGAGAAGACAACACATTAAAAAATTAAAATCACAAAAATGTATCAGGATTACATAAACTGCTTTTATAATTAAAGTATAACCATATTTATTTTAGAACGGTCCAAAGTCATTATGAAAATACATATGAGAAAGATACAGGATTATTTGTTTGCTTTTGTTTTTCAACAAGTTAAAAGAAACATTTTTGAGTAGAAAGAGAATGAGGATTGACACCTAAAATTTATTGCTAAGTGATGAGATGTACAAAGGTAAAATAAGACTGTAGTAGGAACTCAGAACAAGCAATGCACATCATCTATGGACACTCCTATGCCCAGATGTCATAATAATTACATAAGATGAGTAGCTCAACTCTAAATATTTAAAATGGTGATGAGGTTACTGTTGCACAGTGTACTTGGGATCCTCGAAGAGTCTCTTAAGAATAATCATGCTTCTCTTTTCCATGAGTTTACAGTCTCCTAAGTTTTACTAGATATTTCCACTATGCACTGCTCAGATGCCAACACAGGAGACTTTCATATCACAGGACTGGGATTATTCAGGACAGAATATTTACTTAATGTACACCTTTAATATTTCTCTAAGTGTCATGAAAAGATAAGATTTTTTTTTTTAGAGAAATAGTTAATGCTATTGGACTTATTAAATGACATTGATAGAATTGGCTCCCATCAGCAAAAGAAAGAACAGATTTCATTATTAAAAAGATGCAGAATTTAATATATTTTCCTGTCTTTTTCAGATGGTTGGAGAATAATGCTAAATGCATAATGCCACTGTGGCAGCAAAGTTGTCTGTAGCCCTCTATCACAATATAATACACACAGATTAGCTTCCTTATTTTTTTTTAAAAAGCAATTAGGAATAAAATAACCTCATGCTGACATTTAAGCTGTTGTCAGGTTTACAAAACAACGAACTCACATCTTTTGCTCTGAGGTATTTTGCATGCTCAGTAGTGCATCATTGCATCACTATATACATCACTGGTGCTTTAATAGCTGTCTTATAATAAAGTTTTCCACAGGTTCTAACTACTCCTAGCTTGGCCCACACTGTATATGCATATGATTTTGAATTAAGGAATTAAATATTGTTAAACTTCTTGTCAAAGGTTTCATGTCTTAATTTGGTTTTCTGCTCTATAAGCATCAAAATTATGTTGGGGTAAAGTTATTACCCTTCCACCACTAAGTTTAAGAAAGCAACATCAATTAGGAAGTGCCATTACAGGTGATTGTTACAGTAACTGAGATTTAAGAAGTTGTTCTAACTGCATACATTTTCAAAATGCATCCACTGTAACACAGCCCTGGTGAGAAATACTATTGGAAGGCTTCCTCAGTGTGAAATTTCACCTATATAAAAATACTGTTGACAGGCCAACTGACAGATGGCTGTTGAAATACCATCTTTCTTTGTTCTCATTTTCCATGAGAAGCTTTAAGACTGAATCTTCCTACCAGATTTATCATTAATGCACTATAATCCCCCAACAAAAGAACCAACTTTTCTGCTGCAGATTAATAGGCATATTCTATGTAGTATGATACTCCTCCTGTGCTGAGGCCATCTTTCTCAACAGGCAGCTGTATTAGAAACATTTGCTGCAGTTAATTGAAAAGTAATCACTGTAAATGCACCGAGTCAATTCAGGACTTCTGTAGAGTCACAGAATGGCTTGGGTTGGAAGGGACCTTAAAGATCACCCAGTTCCACCTCCCCTGCCGTGAGCAGGGACTCCTTCCACTAGACCAGGTTGCTCAGAGCAATCCAACCTGGCCTTGGACATTTCCAGGGGTAGGGAGCCACAACTTCTCTGCACAACCTGTGCCAGGGCTGCTCTCGACCTGTTCATCCCCCCAGCCTGGATTGACACCAATATTTGGTATTGATGCTGTAGAGATACCAATATATTATAATTCATATTTACAAAATCTTTCAAATAAATTACACCTAAAAAGAAAAGGAGGAGTCAATCCATAAATTTCTACTATATTGTAATCAATAGTGTCAAAACTGTGTCAGTTTTAAAGGTATTAATAACAAAAAGAATATTTTTTTAAAATTCAGAAAATAAAATTGTGCTTTAAATAATCTCGTACTTTGTAAATAAACAGTAGGGATGGGCAAATGTTTTCATCAAAGAAGTATGTTAAGAAATCAAGAGCAATAGAGGTCTTAAATCTGACACATTGCTATGCTGCTTTAGTAACCCTCTGTTATCCATTCTGGAGTTTTTTTCCATTTTGGTGACAGGATCTATTTGTTGAGGCACTATAATATCAAACTCACTGTCACTTCGAAAATAATCAGCCACACAGCATCATTTTTGTAATTAATTCCTGACTTCAGTGAAAAATGTGGTCTCATCTATGACACAATCCATAACCATTATAACCTTATTTTGAAATTAATGAATCTTCCAATTCAAGCCAACCAAGTCTGTAGGTATATTCCAACAGTCGATCTGATTATATTGCCTAGCAGAGAAGTGCCCAGTAAGCTTTCTGATGCCTATCAGTATTCTTCATGACTACTCCAAAGTTTGCAGTGTTTGTAACTCAGTGATAAACAACAAAGCCAATTGTACATATTTATGTATCATTACATGTCACCACACTAAGAGCCACTTGCACCTTCTGTAATTTTCTAAGTAGAAATCGTATGCAAACAGGATTTATCAAATGTACCTAAATCCTACTGACAAAACCAAGTACCAGACACTTCAAACATAACTCCTAACTTCCTTTCATAATCATTCACTGTTGACATCTATATTTTTGCAACCTCTTCCAAAAACAACAGCTGCTGGTCTAAAGCTATTTGTGATGTATGATCTGCTGCTACTCAAGAGCAAAAAATACATTAGGTAATATTAAAATTTAAACTTCTCATAGAACAGCAAACCAGAGGAAGTTTTAAGGAAGAACTGTTGGGAGGAGGCAAACCCAGTTCTAACAATAGAAATGTCAGCCTTTAATTGCAGCAGAGCACCTGTTGTACCTGACTGCTTGTGAGCTGCTCCTGCAGGTGTTTACCTACATGGAAATGAGCAGTCCCAGTGCCTTCCCTCATTCAAAGATAACCACAATGACTCGATAGAGCATCAGAACCATCCACAGCTGGCTGTCCAAAAGCTGTCTTCAACCTTTCTTAATTCCCAAACTCAAGTTAGATTAACTCAAGCTTACTGCCAGCTTGACCCCGTGGCACAGCATTTTCCTCTCTGGAAACTTGCACTCAGAAAACAGGAACTCAGAGCTGCTTCAGACCTGTCACAAGTTCACTGTGAAGTACTTTAAAGCAGCACCTATAGCAAGAAGTCCAGGAAGACAAAGCAATAGGGGTGTCCGCAGGAGAAACGTCTTTGAAAGCAGCAGTAAATGATGGCAGAATATGCCCCAAATCTACAAATTGATGCTACTACCTGCATCTCCCACACTGACAGCTTGACACAGCCCTGGGAAAAGAGCAGGATGGAAAAGCTACTCACTTCCCCAGGTGTGTAATAGCTCTGTTCAGCCTTCTAATGGACAAACTAGAAGTTCAGCTCTTCAGTTAAATTGACTGTAGCAGATTGGGTCTTTGCAATTACTACCAAAACTTGTACTAAGCACAAGGTATTGCAAGGGTTTTCTCCGTTCCTCTGGTGTGAGACAATTGACCACAAATAGTCTTCAATGCAAATTCAGCCTGAAATCTGAGAATCAGGCCAGTTCTCTCATTTCTCATACCATCACTAGTAATAAAAATATCCAAGTCAAATTTTGCCATCAGCTATACTGTGCATTCCAAAAAAAATTTTAAAAAGCAAGTAACCCCCTGTTTCCTAACAATCTGCAAAACAGCAGTCAGCTTTTAATTATGTACTTGCAGAGAGGATAAAAAATTGTGGACGATGCACAGATACAGTAGTCTGATATTTTCTTGAGTCACTACAGCAAACATTTTTGTTAGTAAAGAAAATAATGCAAAGTAGATACACCTGATGAGGACTTCTTGTATAGGAGTTTTCACTACAGGACATTTCATCACACCACTATAAATACATGGTTAAGAGGTGAACACAGAGAAACCGCTTCATCCGCTGCTGGAATGCAGCGGCTATTTAACATTTCATGGAAAAACTCTGCTCTGAGGAGGACTGTACCATCTCTATTTGAAACTGAAAGGACAATTCAAGTGAGTAGAATAATATAATTATGTAACTTGGGATTTTGCCAGACCATCAAGCTTAATACTTCATGAAGCTTCTTAGAACACTGAAATGGATCTTTAATAACCAGAAAAGCTCAGGACCTTTACTCTAAGGTCTCACCGGGGCTCCGGTGCGGTGCTAGGCAGGGGCGCTCGCAGGCAGGAGTTGTTCCTCCCGCACCGGGTTCCTCCGGCTGCTCCTCGCTCCCTCCTCGATTAACTCGCCCTAACTGACAATCACACTGACTTGAAGAGCCTGAAGTATTTAACAGATAAGGTGAGGCAAGAGAATGACCTTTTCTAACAGGATATGCTGACCTTTGAGCGTTGTAGAAAGCATTTAACATTCAAACACATAGCACCAAACCACAAGGAAACCAGAGCTTCGCCTCGCACCGTCATGTTCGACACTGTAGTGAGCTGCCCTACTCCTTAAGCAGACGGGATCGCTAGCTGCAATTATGCACATGATTTACAGTTTGCAGAATCTGTTGGGTCTATCGAGTGGTTTCCAAATCGCTTCCACACGGTGCTTGCGCGCGCGGGGCACCTGCAGGTTCAGATCTGCATCACTCTGCAGGACCGCGATGGGGAGAACGGAGGACCTGACTTTAGTGGAGAACGGGACCTCCTCCGTGCTGGAAGCGGGGCCGGAGCAGCTCCCGGGCCCGGGACACCCGCACGGCAGCTCCTGCTGGGGACGAGCCGGGAGCTCCTGCCGCGCTCCTGCCCCATGCTCAAACCTTTAACACGCTCCGGGCACATCCTCTCCTCTCAGTACTTCTGGAGGCTGAGCGAAAGCTCTCAGCTTCGCCTAATCGGCAATTCTAGGGAGGAGACATCCTGTAGGAAATACCCAGCGATACTTCAACCCGTGCTGCCTATGGGAGATTTGAAAACATCTCTAAGGGACTAACATGAGTTGCTGTAATTTTACATGTAGCCTATGGGTACTGCAGCCTTTCGCGGCCATGCTCCCGGCTCTCGCCCTCACATTCCTCTATCGCCAGCTCGGGGGGGATCCGCAGGCCGAGACTTCTCCCTCCCAGCCTGGCGCCCGGGGGTTCCAGACATCCCTTTCCCCGACATCGCCACCTGCCTCCACCCCGGGCCCTCTTCTTAAGTAACATATCCCCTCACAAGCTAACCCGATGTGATGGATAACTAGAGGGACGGGAGCCAGGGCAGGCAGCAGGCTAAGTGCGCCTTTTTATTAACTTCTTGTAAAGTAATAGCTCCATTTTAGCTGTCACTCCTGTCAAACAACAGCCGCACAATAGCGTGTGATGGGCTCTTCTCGGAGCCCGAGCCACAGGCAGCGCACAGCACACTGCGGCCAGGCAGGCACCGGGCACGCCGCACTGCCGGGGCCGTGCGGGCTCCCTGCCACGAGCGAGGGGGCGAGGGAGAGGGACGGGAAACGAGGGGAAGAACCGGGTCCTTTTTACCCCACCGGGAACCCACTCAGATCCCAAACAAAGGCCGGCAGCCAGGATTCAGGCTCGTCCGAGCCACCGTGTCCTGGAGAGGGGCCGCACGGCTCGCCCCCTCCGCCCTGCCCGCTCTGCGGGCGGCCAGCACGGCAAAAACGGGAAAATCCCGGCGGACGGAGGGCAGGAGGGGCCTGGGACGTGAGGCTCGGTGGGGGACCGGGGCGGGGGACCGCGGCGGTGCCAGCCCCGGCTCCCTGTGGGGACGGGGCGAGCAAGGGTCCTGCCCCAGCGCCCCGTCCGCCGCCGCCCCCTCCCCGCTGCCCGGCCGAGCGGGAGGAGCCCCGCGGCCCCGCCGGCTGCGGCTGCTTGCGGGGCTCCGCGGGGGGCGGGCACATGCGTACAAGCGGCTCATCCAGGCAAACACCCCTCACATCTTAAATGAGCTTCATTTGCCGGCAGCCGCTCCAGTCGGGCTGGGAGCTGCCGGGCTGCGCTCGCAGCGCCTGGCGGGGAGCCCCTTAGGGCGGGCCCGCCCCGACGGAGACCCCCGCGCCCCGCTCTCGATGGGACTGAGCGCGGAAGCGGCTCCGCGCTCGGGCGGCGCGGGCGGAGCGCGCCCCGCGGGGGCGCCGGGCATGGCCGCGGGCGGGCGGGGGCCGAGCCGGAGCCGCGGGCACAGCGCCCTCGCGGGGGGCCCCGCCGCGGCCATGGAGCGCCGCTGATCGCCGCCGATCGCCGCCGGGAGACAATGGCCCTGCACAAACTCTGCTCCGTGCTCGAAGGTAGGAGCCGCGGCGGCGCGGCGCCCTCCGCGGGAGCAGCTGCTCGGAGCGGGAGCCGCGGTACCCCCGGAGCCGCCCGCCCCCTCGGCTGCCCCGCGCTGCCCCCGCCCAGCGCCGGCGGAAACTTTGGAGCGAGGGGCGCGGGGGCTGCGCAGGGGCGGCCGCTCCGCTGCTGCTCCTGCCGGGGCTGCTTCTCTGGAGCAGCTGCCCGAGCCCCGCATCGCCCCCCGCACCGCGTCCCTGCGGGGCGGCCGCGGGTCCGGGCCCCGTGTTGGTGCGGGGGGGTCCCGGTCCCAGTCCCGCTCTGCCCCAGCGCTGCGGCCGCTCGGGGTTCGGCGCTGGGGCGGGCGCTGCCGGAGCCCATCGCGGGGCCGGGCCGGGGCCCCGCTCCCATCCCGGGCTGTTCCGGCCCCGCTGGGGACACCTCGGTACCTCGCGGGGGGGGAATCCCAGCCTGCAGGAACGTGGGTCAAAGAGGCAACGACCCTGCCCCAGCGCCGTGTATATTCCCAAGACCCATCAACAGCATCCTGCGTTCCGGTCTGTTCACTGTCAAAATACTCCTGCTTTCGGAACTCTCCTAACGAGCTGCCCAGCAGTGATCAGCCCATCACACTTGTTTTATGGAACGAGATCTGTTTTCAGCAGGGCTTTCACAAAATCAGCCGCCACCCGAGTCACAAGCTGGCTGACCGGTATTGACCTGAGCTTTTCTTCTTGAGGCTTTTAAATCTTGTTTCTAACTTCTTTCGGTTGAGAGGTAAACAACTGAGGAAGGCTCGTCATCCGAGCATTTCTTTGTCTGTGCTGTTATTTATACAGCTCGACAATGGGCTAGGGTTTTCTGTTAGAAAATAAGGCTGGATGTGGCAGTTAACCTTGTGCCTCAAGGGATTATTTCTACTATTCTGTACCTACTTGAGCAATTGCAGACTTGATAGTGATGCAAGTCTATTTTTTTATCAGGTTTATTATTATTAAATTATTCTGTTAGGAAATTTTGGCGCGACCGTTTGCATTACTGAAACCATCAAGGCATTACTGCAGGGTGGAGAACTGTTTTGATTATGCACTGACGTCTTCCCACAGTATGAAAGTTGTAAAGAAGTCTGTTTCAAATCCAGAATGTTTTCGTGGCCCGTAAAATCCCGTGTTCCTTAACTGAAGGATGTATGTCTTTAGGTTTAAGTAAATATTTTTCGTTTATTAGCATAATAACTGAGAGACAGAAGTTACTTGCTGTCAATAAATGTCTGGCTCTCTATATAGGTGTTAACCATCCACTGAGTTTAGACAACACAGGAGCATAGGGCTTACATGGGGAAGACAAGGCATTTAGATATTTTTCTACTGCCTCTTTTAAGTAACAAATTTAAATACTCTAAACCACTATATTACATATCTACTACTTAAATACTTTCTAGATATGCAGATTTAATCACGTTTCAGAAACTTGTGATTGCTGCAAATTTGACTGTACAGGTTTTCTCCTGAACAGACCTATAAATATTGTTTTTTATCATGACACTAGTGTCCAGGTAAAAAGTCCCCATTCTGCTCAGGAAGTTTTTTGTATTTTTCAGAACCTATAAATTGCACAAAGCCATTAGTCAATAAGCTGTTAGTATTCTAAATGCATCCCTTGCCATGACTACAGAAACAACCTATCATTACTTAGCATCATGCACTGCCTTTTATCTCTGCTTCACCAGGAGTTGTCACATATTCCAATTATTACATTTCATCAGACACAAAAAAATGTATTCCCGTAGACAAACATACAGATTTAATCCCAAAAGGGAATAGAATTCAAAGTAACCTTCCTTATTTTACAAGTTGCATCTTAAATTTTGCATGGAAGCTCTACCTACAGTGGCAATAATTTTTAATTTTCTTTCTCCATACAAGTCTTTGTCTGCAGAACTGGGGGAGTTCTGCTAAACCACGTACAAAGTACCATGAGCTCAATATATCATTATAAGTCACATTTCAGTAATACTTAGAAACAGTTTAGTCATCTGTTCTTAGTATGGAATACACATCTACATCTGTGTCATCCACAGAGGTTATATTTTGTGACTGTATAACCTCAGGGCAGAAAAGAGCCCGTCATACTCACTTTGTGGCAATTCAAATTTCTTATATTAAGCTTGTTCAAAACTACTCTATGATCTTCCTCAGCTATCAATAATAAGAGCTGATTTAAATGAACATCTCCATGTAATTCTTCCTCTGTCCGTACTATTCAGCAAAACTTTTCAAAGTCTCATCCTGAATCCCATCATCTTACATGGATTATTTGCTCCCATCCAGAAGTGCCAGTGCTGAGTGGCAGTGCTGGTGGAGCACAGCAGCTCTGAGGCTGCAGTGGCTGCAGTTTTTGCTGAGTGGAGCCCAACCAATGCCCACCTGCTTTCTTAGTGGTGTCTGTAACCTCCTGGAGGCCAAGGAGCTTTGCTGCATTTGGGTTGTTGAAAGACAAAGCCTTTTCCTCCTGTCTTCAGTTCTCATTGAGATTTTAAACACCCTGGAATTGGTCCCCAAGCCCTGGAAAATGCACCTGCTCTACAACAATAAAGCACTATAACCCTCTACTTCTTAAGAGAGAAAAGCAACTGCTTTCTTGATAAAGCCACGTTCCTGTTACGCTTTGGAAGCAAATAACCCATCTTGGATTTCCTCAAATCTGGAATTCCTCTAAAATGTGTTTGCTAAGAACTTGTTCCCATTCTTCCAATATGTTCCCTCTTTCATTTGCCTATGCTATTATCTGGTTAAAAAACCCTAAAAACCGTAAGTTAAATCCTTTCTGTACATTAATTTTGGACTACTTCAGCTAGTACAGTTGGATTAATTTAAAAGGTAAAAAAAGAGAAAATATTCTCTCTAAAAAGAGAATTTTGTAGTTTCTTACCCAATAATTCAACAAGCAGCCAGGGCTAGACCAAATTACTGCTACTTCTGGAAAGTCAGCATTCACAACCTTCCAGTGGGCTACAGAATTATTTCCAACTCTTGTCAGGTTGCAAGAATGTGGACTACTATGATTAGCTTCCTGCCATTCTGCTCAGCCTCCTCATTTGCATTTTGGCATGATTTTAACAGCTAATTTCTCACAAACAAGTAGTGTTAGGAAGTAATGCTTACTTCCACACAACAGCTAGAAATTATGGCCACCTCTTTCCAAAATCAAAAGGTGTAATATCGACCCAAAAAGCTAAAACAAGCAGGGAAAAAAATTAAAAATCTATTAATAATTTCACAATTTGTTCATTGAAACCAAAAGCAAATTACTGACTGAAGAGGGTAAAGTGACCTAATGAAGGCAGTATCAAGTGCTAGTCAGAATTTCATTTTTTACATAATAAACAGTATCTACTTGCAGAGTTTGCTGCTGCACTGGAAGAAAAGTGAAGCACCAAACTGCTGGCACTGCTAAGGAGTTAAGCCGAAGTAACTTAACTGTGGAACAGGATTCAGAAAGCTGCTATGTTCTAAGGAGAGTATTTGGTGGTGTGTATTATGTCTTGCTCTTAATACACATACAAACTTAATATCCAAAATGCACCCCTCAGCAGCATGACTTCAAAAACATTAAATCCCTAGATTTCCTAAGAGATAGTTGACCATGACTGCTAAAATTGTACAGAACAAGTTGGTTATAATTACAGTGATATTAATAGAAAGTTTCAGTGTATAAATCAGGTATATGGCTGTGGCTGGAGTACAGAATAACACAGGATTGAAGCTGAAGGAGCTGCTGAATTATGTATCCCTAGGTAATGAAAAAGTTAAGATCTTCAGTGTCTTCCCTAAGGTTTAATTCACAAGGAAAGATTAGACAGAAAAATTACCCCCAAAGTGAAACTTCATAAGCTATTCATCACTTTTGAACCTGTCAGAAAGTCACAGTGTAATTCATTGCAGGAATGAAGAGAGCTGATAATTGCACACACTCTTGTACACAGAGTTTACATACAAAACAAATCCATCACTTGATGTATAACCCATCTGGACTGAAACAAAATTTTAATTATGGTGTCTTGGATTCAAGTTGGGGCTCTAGTGCTGCAAAGAAACCTGCTGCCTGTGTGCCTTGTATATTCCAATTTGTTAGTTTAATTAATGAAGCACTTAGAGTCTAGGACAACTTAAACAGCTTGCTACCTTTAAATAGCTTGCTGCCTCTCAGTACATGACTGGCAACTGCCACCTCAAGTATTGCAAGAGATGGGGGTTGGGGAGTGTAAATTTTTCAACAAAAGCCCAGCAGGTAACTTTAAATGAAAAAGAATCTGCATTTCTTTTAGCTTATCTTTGTGCTGCACTCCATTTTCTGTTATTACAAAGCTGACCCCACTATGCAGCAGAAAAGGACGGCCAATATGTTAACAAACCTCCAAAACCTCCTTCTTTAGCATACAATAAAATTGGTGAACACAGAGAAGCCTCTTTTGAAGGGACTAAGAGTGAGGAGGTAGAAAAAAAATATTAATTATACTGTGTACATAAATTGTTGCCAGACGTGACAGCAGGCAGCAGAACTTTTAATATTCATTTCATAATAGACATTCCTGAGAAGATTTCCTCTGAAAAATACACTTTATTGATAATAAAGAAGATGATGAAGTCTGATGAGTTTTTAAGTCCAAAGTATCACTATCCGAGTGCTCTAGGAACAAGTTATCTCTTGGAAAGGTGTGTTCAGAATAGTCACGTACAGCAGGATCAGTTCTGTCAGCTACAGGGAAATCATCTGAACTTCAAGTCAGTGTATATATTTTAATAAGGTTTTTTAAACCCCTCATCAACATGGTTTGCACATGCAGCCTTCTCATCAGTCTCTTGCTGCACACATCTTGGAGATAAAAAAAAGGATCTTCCATATAAAAAGGAAAGCTTCTATTTTAAAAATGAAAGCTATCATTCTTCTGGCAGAAGTTTTGCTGGCAGACAGACCCAGGGATGGATTATAACTAAAAGGATGTGGAGCAACTGGT